CACCGGGATCTCCTCAGCACTCGCTATCTCGGGTCTATACGGAGCCTTCCACATGATTGCTTTACTCTCTTGCACTGAGTCTACGACCAGTCCGATCTCTTCGAATTTCTTCTTCAACTTCTCTTCATGGTTGACATACACCGAGGAGATGCCCAGGAGAGTCATGGAGATGAAGGAAGTCACCTCGTTGCCTGCTGAGGCGGTGTATGTCTCGACCTTCTCCTTCTTGGCTTCTTCAATCTGCTGCATAAACCACTCTCTGGATGCGTCACTCCATCCAGTCATTGCTTCTTGTAGAAGCTCACGTCGTGCCTGCTGACATGTCGAGCGGATGGCTTCTGCGATAGCGTCGGGGGTGCATCCCTCCACAGCCTTGCAAGCCTGGGCTGTCCTGCTGTTCGGATAACGCTTCGCGAAGCTCTTCACCCTCTCGACGAGATCAGCTTCGAGGACCGCGGCATCCACAAGTCCGCTCTGCGTGTATTGGCATGATTGCGAACATTTTCATCATACTGAAGAACCATACTTAGAAAGCTATTTGAAGTATACAAACCTCTCGCTTGCCGCTTGCAGCTTCCTTGGCGCCCTGGCGGCTTCCCCTACACCTGGCAGGGAGCCATGCTGCCGAAAATAACGGCGCCTCTAAACCCTATCATTATTATTATTATTATGTGAGTTTATTAGAATGCTAGAATGTTGCTCGGCCTCCTTGTGGGCTTTTGCAATTTGATCCTAGTCTAAAGAGGCGCGCGAGCACTGGGAGTACACGGCCTACAATGCGAACCCTGCTTCTGAGGCGTCTTTCTACTTTCTACTTCTGCTGTCTTCTCTTGGCTTCCTCAGCCTCAGTCAGGAGAGTTGCCTCTCCTCACCTTGGCCTTCGGTCGCCACCTACTCTACCTCCATTCAGCTTCCTCAGCCTCAGTCAGGAGAGTTGCCTCTCCTCACCTTGGCCTTCGGTCGCCACCTACTCCTCCTCCATTCAGCTTCCTCAGCCTCAGTCAGGAGAGTTGCCTCTCCTCACCTTGGCCTTCGGTCGCCTCCTACCTTCTCTCCTTACCTTGAGCTCAGCTCAAGCTCGGTACGGGCTCGCCCCGTCTTCTTCCTCGCCCTCGCCTTGCTCTTCCTCCATGTCTTCCTCTTCTTCGTCATCTTCCCTCATCTCCACCCGCAGTCGGTCCTTCTTGTCCACCTTCAGCGAGCAGGCCAGCACATGCATCTCTGCGAATTTACTCAGTGCTATGAACAGGAAGCTAAGAGATCGACGCTCTATGTCGTCGCTCTCCGCCTCCTGCTCAAGCTCAGCAGCTGCCGTTGCCCGTGGCGAGAACGCGCTGCCCCTCCTTGCCTTCTTGCTCTCTCCTTGCACGCGAGTCCAGCGCTTGCTCTGCAGCCACTTCCCCAGCTTCTCCTTGAGAACGTTGCGTCCCACTCCCTGCTCCTCTGGCGTCTTCGCCCACTCTCCCAGCGACATGAACTCCAGGCTCCCCGGAGAGTAGAAGGTGTCGTGGAGGTTGCCAACGGCCTTGTCCAGGACCAGCTTGATCGGCTCGCTCGTCCCCGCCTCGTTCAAAGAAGCTGCATCTTCGATGACTGCTGACAGCTCGCTGACAAGCTGCATGTCCTCTTGGCTTGACGGAGATGCTGCCTCCATTGTGATCCTCTCCAGGTCTGTAAACTCCAGCCACTCTCCCTCGCTCTCCTCCTGTCGCTGCGCTGCGTCGCTGGTGCCCCGCTGACCAGCCGCCTCAGGCTCCTTGTCGAAGCCGACTGCTTCGAGCTTGGTTGCTGCGCCTTCGAGATAGAAGGGCAGCTCCTTCATCATGCGTCGAGCATCCTCCGTGGAGCCGAGGAGGATGCATAGCTTGGACCCGTTCCAGGACTTGGTGTTCAAATCCTCCTCCATGTCGATGCCTTCAACTTTGATCTCGAGCCTGTTAGCGATCTCCAACAAGACTCTCTTGACTCTTGCGATGGACGTGTTGCCGCCGTTGCACAGCCCCTCCATCTCCTTCCTCGTGAAGCGACCAGATGCCGCCGTCGACTTGATGATGATCTTGATCTCCTTGCCGTCCTTGCCGCCTGCCTTCTTCTGCATCCTTGATGCCTTCTTCAACTTATTTCTGGACACAAAGCGATCAGCTGTCAACTCGACTGCGAGCGCCTCTCTGATCTTCGGGTCCTCGCTGAACAGAGTCAGGTGTACTCCCTCCATCGCTTCGCTCTCTCGGAAAGCTCGAAATGCTGTATCATTCGCCTCTGGGCAGCTCGAGGAGACGATCCACTCCACCTCCCTCTGTCTCCAGATGACGTTGGCCCCTACAGCGATGAAGCCTTTCTGACCTAAGCCTTTGTGGACTTGCTGTCCTGGCGCCCCAGCGACCAGCATGCCTGCCAGCAGCTGGAGTTGGACCGCTGCAAGGGACTGGCGCAGCAGCTGATAGCGATAGACGGCAGCTATCTCAGCCGTTGTCATGCCGCCCAAGGTTAGCAGGTGGGTCAGCTCTGCCAAGCTGCCCCCTTTGCCCCAGGGTCCTCTCTTGGCTCGAATCTGCTGTGAACTTGCGACCATCGATCGCGAAGTCCTCTCTTCCCTGCCAGAGCTTCTCCGCTTGTGCATTGCGGAGGAAGGAAACAGTCACCGGGATCTCCTCAGCACTCGCTATCTCGGGTCTATACGGAGCCTTCCACATGATTGCTTTACTCTCTTGCACTGAGTCTACGACCAGTCCGATCTCTTCGAATTTCTTCTTCAACTTCTCTTCATGGTTGACATACACCGAGGAGATGCCCAGGAGAGTCATGGAGATGAAGGAAGTCACCTCGTTGCCTGCTGAGGCGGTGTATGTCTCGACCTTCTCCTTCTTGGCTTCTTCAATCTGCTGCATAAACCACTCTCTGGATGCGTCACTCCATCCAGTCATTGCTTCTTGTAGAAGCTCACGTCGTGCCTGCTGACATGTCGAGCGGATGGCTTCTGCGATAGCGTCGGGGGTGCATCCCTCCACAGCCTTGCAAGCCTGGGCTGTCCTGCTGTTCGGATAACGCTTCGCGAAGCTCTTCACCCTCTCGACGAGATCAGCTTCGAGGACAGAGGCATCCACAAGTCCGCTCTGCGTGTATTGGCATGATCTCCGATACAGCAGGTTGCGAACATTTTCATCATACTGAAGAACCATACTTAGAAAGCTATTTGAAGTATACAAACCTCTCGCTTGCAGCTTCCTTGGCGCCCTGGCGGCTTCCCCTACACCTGGCAGGGAGCCATGCTGCCGAAAATAACGGCGCCTCTAAACCCTAAACCCTATTATTATTATGTGAGTTTATTAGAATGCTAGAATGTTGCTCGGCCTCCTTGTGGGCTTTTGCAATTTGATCCTAGTCTAAAGAGGCGCGCGAGCACTGGGAGTACACGGCCTACAATGCGAACCCTGCTTCTGAGGCGTCTTTCTACTTTCTACTTCTGCTGTCTTCTCTTGGCTTCCTCAGCCTCAGTCAGGAGAGTTGCCTCTCCTCACCTTGGCCTTCGGTCGCCACCTACTCTACCTCCATTCAGCTTCCTCAGCCTCAGTCAGGAGAGTTGCCTCTCCTCACCTTGGCCTTCGGTCGCCACCTACTCGTCCTCCATTCAGCTTCCTCAGCCTCAGTCAGGAGAGTTGCCTCTCCTCACCTTGGCCTTCGGTCGCCTCCTACCTTCTCTCCTTACCTTGAGCTCAGCTCAAGCTCGGTACGGGCTCGCCCCGTCTTCTTCCTCGCCCTCGCCTTGCTCTTCCTCCATGTCTTCCTCTTCTTCGTCATCTTCCCTCATCTCCACCCGCAGTCGGTCCTTCTTGTCCACCTTCAGCGAGCAGGCCAGCACATGCATCTCTGCGAATTTACTCAGTGCTATGAACAGGAAGCTAAGAGATCGACGCTCTATGTCGTCGCTCTCCGCCTCCTGCTCAAGCTCAGCAGCTGCCGTTGCCCGTGGCGAGAACGCGCTGCCCCTCCTTGCCTTCTTGCTCTCTCCTTGCACGCGAGTCCAGCGCTTGCTCTGCAGCCACTTCCCCAGCTTCTCCTTGAGAACGTTGCGTCCCACTCCCTGCTCCTCTGGCGTCTTCGCCCACTCTCCCAGCGACATGAACTCCAGGCTCCCCGGAGAGTAGAAGGTGTCGTGGAGGTTGCCAACGGCCTTGTCCAGGACCAGCTTGATCGGCTCGCTCGTCCCCGCCTCGTTCAAAGAAGCTGCATCTTCGATGACTGCTGACAGCTCGCTGACAAGCTGCATGTCCTCTTGGCTTGACGGAGATGCTGCCTCCATTGTGATCCTCTCCAGGTCTGTAAACTCCAGCCACTCTCCCTCGCTCTCCTCCTGTCGCTGCGCTGCGTCGCTGGTGCCCCGCTGACCAGCCGCCTCAGGCTCCTTGTCGAAGCCGACTGCTTCGAGCTTGGTTGCTGCGCCTTCGAGATAGAAGGGCAGCTCCTTCATCATGCGTCGAGCATCCTCCGTGGAGCCGAGGAGGATGCATAGCTTGGACCCGTTCCAGGACTTGGTGTTCAAATCCTCCTCCATGTCGATGCCTTCAACTTTGATCTCGAGCCTGTTAGCGATCTCCAACAAGACTCTCTTGACTCTTGCGATGGACGTGTTGCCGCCGTTGCACAGCCCCGCCGTTGCACAGCCCCTAAGGAACCTGCCAGGAAATAAGGAACCTCCTAAACCCTAAACCCTAAACCCTAAACCCTAAACCCTAAACCCTATTATTATTATTTGAGTTTATTAGACTCTTAGTCAAAAGTTTCATAGCTAAGAACTATTGCTCTTCGCTCATCTCTCGCCTAATGATCCGTCTAAAGGGGTTCCCAACCTTGGGAGGTTGGCCCATTCTCCTATAGGCCCCTTAGGCCTGGTTGCTTCCGTATTAGTTGTTTTCAGTAACGCTGTCCTCCGGGCCCGTTCCAATTCCGATCCCGGTCCCCTTCCTTATTTTCGCTAAGTTCCGTTGTACCTTCCTGCCCCTTCCCCCCCCAACACGCAGTCGCCCACTGTGGCAAGGCTGTACCTTCTCCTGCTGGCTAGCCCTTCTCTTCTTCCCTTCATGCAGCCCATGACCATGCGCCATGGGTGGCTTGCCCATGAGCCGCGCCTGCCCCCATCGGACTACATCGACTCTCTTACCCTTCTTGCCGTCCATAGCATGTGTTGCACCTCCAGCAGTTGCTTGATTGCTGCTGTCTTGATGCCTTCCCATTCCGTGTCATCCACCCTTAGCCTCCTGAAATTCTCATGCCATTCCCTCTCCATGATCGATCCTTTCACTCCTGCTATGAATGTTGCTTGTTCCACTTCATGGTCAGGTAGCAAAGCTGTGATTGCTGCTCGCAGAGGGGCATATTTCTCTTCCTTTTCCTGAAATTTCTTCTTCAGGCATTCCAGACTTGTTTGTTCGACTCCGTCATATTCCGATGTCCTTGCAAATTCGATGAGGACAATGCGTTTGATGCTTGCAAAGTAGCAGCAACCGTCTGGTATCCATTGCCCTTTTCGGTGCATTGAAGTCCCCATCGCTTCCATCACGATGCGTATTGGAGTGTCCCACCATGAATTGACCTGTACCCTTTGTTTCCTCCAGCTCTGCTGCAGTCTTACCTTGATCTTCTTCATGACTTCGTTGTGTGCTTTTTGAATCATATCTTGGAATTGCCTACACGCAAGCTGAACATGTCCCCAGGTTTCTTCTCGGTCTGGACAGTGAGGACAACATGGTGAGTTAGTTTTCCCCCATTGAAAGAGCTTCTTCCTCGTCGGTGCTGAGAAGGTGATCGCTTGGATAGCTGTTCGTGTAACTGACCCTTCGCATTGTTTGAACCCTCTCCCTAGTAAATCTCTTCCCACATGCATTTCGAGCATGAATTTCTCTGTCAAGGTGAGGTCTCCCGCTCGAATCCTTGCCACCATTGTCTGTTGTCTGATAATGTAGTCCCATTTCTTCAAGCGATCGAATCCTGATGTAGGATTTTCTTCTCCTGCAATGATGAATTCCATTGGGCTATCGTAGATTGCTTTCTCCCATCCCGAGGCAAATGCTTGTTTTCCTTGCTTGGCCATTTCCTTTGCCTCTTGAATATGTCTCTGAGATTCTTTTGCTAGTTGGAGTCGGATCCTGATTCCCCTCCCTTCGAGTTTCTTCATGCAAGTGAGTAACCGATCATGTAGGTCCTCCAGCAGTTCGTCTTCGTATCGCATGGTATCCATTCGCAACGTATTTGTCATAAAGCGGTGGAAACGTGTGGACTGGTACATTATTGTGACTTGATTTCCCCTTTTGATCTGTATTCCTTCCTCAAGGACATGTTGCAGAAGTAAGCCAATTGCGATTGTGTTCGCTCGAATGATGCTGCACTTCCCATTGATTTTCATCCCTCCTCCTGACGTCATCTCTTGTTGTTGGAGAACATATCCTATTCGCATGGATCTGTTTTTTCTGCCCTGCGTGATGTCTCCTTCAATAGCTGCTGTGAAATGCCTTCCGCCTTGATGATCGCTGCGCGGCTGGATCTGATCCCTTCGTCTGTTACACAGCTCCTCATACGTTGGGAGGATGTTGTCATGAAGCTGGTCCCGCAAGTACGTTGGGAATGTGTGCCCAACTAGTATCCATAGCTCCTCTACAGTTTTCGTCAAGCACCTATTCCCTGTTTGCCAGAAGTTTGCTGCATAAGCTATTTGAGCGCCTTTCGGGACCCGGCTGATAATTTCAAAACCTTCTGGTATCTCATCAATGTTATTCTTCCATCCTATCAGAATGACATGTATTGTATCCAGGATTTGTTCGCGAAATCTCTGTTGTTTGTCCATCCAAACCACCACTCTGTGCAGTTCCCTTGCTCTCTTTTTGCCCAGAGCCTGGGGATGTGTGTGTAGGGTAGGCCAGTTACGAAATGTACTGATGTCGCATTCTGTAATCTCTGCTAGGTGTTGTAAAAACTCGTATGCCAATGGTTGTGTTGTTTCTTGGCGAACCTCTGATACTACCTCCTCGAGTTGTTGCCACCATGCTGTAGCTTCTGTTTCGCCGTCGTCCAATGCATTAACTATTTCCAGCAGCAGATGGATGCTTTGATTGCAGTCTCTTCGGTTATTACCGTCCTCTTCCCTTGTTGCAGATGCGAAGGGAGCCGAGTCCAGCGACGCTTCCAACCATTCCGAGTATTGGTGGATCCACGGTCTTGCTTTCTTCAATTTGAGATCGCTCAAAGATGGCTCTGTTTCCTTGAACTTTGAAAGGTATGTTGCTTGAAGTGTGGCTGAATCTTTCTTGCTGATTCCTTCCTTCATCATAACAGGTGGGGTCATGTTGGAGCCACCGCCTCAAAATTACCCGGGTGCAAGCCTTCGTATTCGTTTCCTCTCTCCCTTGGTCCGGTCTGGCTAGTTTCTTGTGTGGCTGAAGTTCATGTGGGCTAGCCTCCCTTTTTCCTTTCCTTCTCTTGTTTGGGGGCTTCCCCTCCTCCCTGGCTGGCCTTCTTCTCTTCCCTGTTCCTGCCTGCTCAAGTCCGAGTTTTGCCCAGATGACATTCGCTTGCAGATATTGTGCAAGGATTTCTTCTGCTTGTTCCCTTTGCTTTGGGAATGGCCAGAGTCGGATGGGCAGGTGCAGGGAGATGCCCTCGGTATCTGGGACGGGTAAGACACTTGTCATGGAGTGGAAGCCTACTTGGGGCAGTAGTCTCCATGCCTTTGCAAAACTCTCCCAGCCTTGCCGAGCAGGAGATGTAGGTAGGGAGTTTTCTCCGGACAGCAGGGAGTTTTCTTCTGAGAGCATCTTGTCCTCCAGGTCGTGTAAGATGGCTATTGTCCCCGGTTTCATCTTGCTTTCAATCATTTCCCAACTGATGGTGGTCTGCATTTTTTCCGCTATCCAGATTGCGAGTCTTTCCGGTCCTCTTATCTCTTCGTTCTCTTTGAGTCTGCCCGATCTGATTTCTCGTTGTAGCTGGTTTATTGTTTGACACCCCCATTGGTTGGACCATGCTGTTAGTTTGTGTATCAGACTGCTTTTGATATCATCATCCACCCTGCATTTCTTATTCGTTTCTTTCTCTAGATACCGAACTTCGGAATCGCCGCCCTTCCCAAGATGGGTGCTGGATGGGGGAGTTGGAGGCCTCCTCTGTCCCAAGGTAGGTGAAAGATAGCGTTGCTTGTACTCTTGCTCAATCCCATAGCTCTTTTGAATGCTCTGGTCCAGAGGGTATCTAAGGTTTGTAAGTCTGACCAAGACCACTGCGGCTCACCAGTACCGCCGAGTATCTAAAGATATTGACGATGCCTACCTTCACCAGGTAATATTTTTGGGCTGCCGAGTAAGCATGATTCAATCAGCTTTGTCAGTTCTTTTGTCTTCTCCAAGATGTGTTCTTTCTCTCCCCACGTGAAGGGGCAGGTGTGCGCCTTGTTGCCTCTTCCTCCTGGTCTCCACAAGCTGATCCGGATCCCTAGATATTTGAACCATTTTGTCGGTGGTAGGTTCACAAACTCCTCGTCGAAGAACTTAATGGTCTGTGTTCCTGGGATCTCCCTCCTTAGCCGATAATCAAAGCTGGTGATTTCAGATTTCTTCGTGTTCAGTTCTAATCCACTCCATCGACAGAATCGTTCTACCACTTGAACAAGCGTTTTCATCTCTCTCACTGAATGTGCTATCAGGACAAGGTCGTCTGCAAATGACAGATTATTAGGGTGTTGAGTTGCAATCTCGTCTTGTTGTTGATCAAGTTGTCTGGACAAGATGCTGAGCAGAAGATTTGTTTTTGGCGGACTTGCGGGGCTGCCTTGGGGTAATCCTCTGAGAAGTGGGATGGCTGCTGTTTCGAACCTCTCTGTCTGAATTTGCAGCGCTATCCCTTGGCTACAACTGATTGCGACGTCTACATCACACTGGTGAAAGCCATATACTTCCATGATTTTTGCAATGGATTCGACTGCCACATTGTTAAAGAAGTTTGCAAAGTCGAGGTACAGCAGGATGAGGTTGTGTTGATTACTCTGAGCCTCCTCGATGATGTTGAGTAGACGATGACCCTGCCTGATCGTTCCTCCCTCTGGTCTGAAACCTTCCTGGTTGTTAGTGAGTAGCTTATGTTTTTCAGCAGCTTTTGCCAGTCTGTGCGCTATGACTGCCTGGAAGATCCGCGTTACCGAGGAGAGGACGCATATAGGTCTTTTCTCATTTTTTGGGAGGAGCCTAACTCTCGCGAGCATCTTTAGTGTTTGCTTGTCTCCGATCAAGGCGTTGCTGATTGTCTTGCCTATTTCCTCCTTTGCACTGTCAGGCAGAGCTTTCAGAATCTCGTTTGAAATCAAATCCATGCCTGCTGCTTTCCGGTTGGCCAGTTTTTGAATCCATACTTGGATCTCGCCTGGCTCCAGCGGGTAAGCTATCTCTACGTCCCTGGTCGGGTGTTGATTGATTTGCTCTGGGGGTTCGAAGTCCGGTGGTTTGACGGAAGTCAGTGATTGACAGTTTTTGCAGAAGAAGAGGATTGATGCTTCTCCGTTTTTCTGGCTTTTGTCATACAGCGGAATCAGTCGTCCTTTTGTTTGACATTCAGCTCTTGCACAGGTTCCGTTCATGGTACATCCGTTGACTGCAAAGAAGGTTGCCGTGTGGGTTTCATCTTCTAGATCTCTTGCCAATCTCATGGGGAGAAGTTGCTCGATGTTTTTGTATCCTTCCAGGCGCCACCCTCCTGGCTGTGTGATCAGTCCTCGGATGATGGGTACGATTGCGTGTGCAGGCGCCAGAGTTATGAACAGCTTTTGTGTCAGTGTTGCCGGGTTCCTCGTCCCGAGAACCTCGACGTGCAGCATGGTTTGATGTCTTGCACTCCAAAAAGTTTTGCTTGCTTCTTTGGAGTTGCTCTGGAGGAATGTCTCGATTAACGGGTTCAGTTCTTGAAGATATGCTGTCTCCGGCTGTTGCAGCGCTGGCTGGAGATCGCTCCATGACGTAAGTTCGATTGTGTTTGGGTGGCACTTCTCTGGCCGGGCAGTGAAAGTTGACCGTCAGCATTGGGGCTTTGGGCTTAAAGTCTGACTTCTTGCCCATTGCATTTTGAGACTCTTTACTCCCTATCGTGCCCAAGCGTCTTCTTCGTTCTTCGCATGCTTTCAGAAATATCTCTTGGTCTTGTGCTGCGCAGATCTCCTTGAATTTGGTCATATTCTCTCTTATTTCTGCATGTAAGCTCGACTCCTTGTGTGCTCGATCAATAAAGTCTGGAATTTCTGAAGCGTTTCTTAAATCCTTGTGAAGTTGCTTGATTTTGCGTTTCAGATCCATCTGGATCTTGGATGCATGTCTTTTCCCGCTGGAGCCTCGTAGAGGAATTTCCTTGATGGGGAGGGCTGTTGTTATCAATTCGAGAATGTCGCAATCTTGATGTAGAGCTTGTGCCGCTTTTATCACCTCATCAAGTGCTATTGCCCATTCCACGCCTAGTCTTCCCGATAGCTTGTCCATCTCGACCACCCTTTTCTTTCGTCGAGGGGTTGCTTCTCGATCCCTCCTTTGCGGGAGGATTTCAATCTTTGGGATGGCTTGCTTACCCTCAGCATCGAGCGAGCTCACATTCACTACAAGTGCTCTGTGGTCGACTGCGGCTCCTATGATGCAATCCTCTGCGGTCTGCGATATTAAGCTTACTGTGCAAGATGAATGGTGTAATGCAAAGTCATGATCCAGTTTTGCTTGGTGATGACCCTGCTTGTACCATGTGGAGAAGGTGAAGTGCGTGCTGCTTCTGCTCATCTTCTCGCAAGTGACCATCTGGGATCGTCCGAGTTCGTTTAAGCCTTGTTCCATTCTCTCATCTGCACGGAAGAACCATACTTAGAAAGCTATTTGAAGTATACAAACCTCTCGCTTGCAGCTTCCTTGGCGCCCTGGCGGCTTCCCCTACACCTGGCAGGGAGCCATGGTGCCGAAAATAACGGCGCCTGTGCCGAAAATAACGGCGCCTCCTAAACCCTAAACCCTAAACCCTAAACCCTAAACCCGTCTAAAGGGGTTCCCAACCTTGGGAGGTTGGCCCATTGTCCTATAGGCCCCTTAGGCCTGGTTGCTTCCGTATTAGCTGTTTTCAGTAACGATCGGCCCGATGATGTCCTCCGGGCCCGTTCCAATTCCGATCCCGGTCCCCCTTCTTGTTTTCGCCAAGTACCGTTGCCTTGCCTGCCCCTGCCCCCCCCCACATGCCGTCGCCCGCAGTGTGGCCAGGCTGTACCTTCTCCTGGGCTGGTTAGCCCTTCTCTGTTTCCCTTCATGCCGCCCATGACCTTGAGCCGCTCCTGCCTCCTTGCTGCCAGGCTTGTTTTCCTTCCCTATTAGAATGCTAGAATGTTGCTTTGCCTCATTGTGGGCTTTTGCAATTTGATCCTAGTCTAAAGAGGCGCGCGAGCACTGGGAGTACACGGCCTACAATGCGAACCCTGCTTCTGAGGTCTCTTTCTACTTTCTACTTCTGCTGTCTTCTCTTGGCTTCCTCAGCCTCAGTCAGGAGAGTTGCCTCTCCTCACCTTGGCCTTCGGTCGCCACCTACTCTACCTCCATTCAGCTTCCTCAGCCTCAGTCAGGAGAGTTGCCTCTCCTCACCTTGGCCTTCGGTCGCCTCCTACCTTCTCTCCTTACCTTGAGCTCAGCTCAAGCTCGGTACGGGCTCGCTTCACGAGGAAGGAGATGGAGGGGCTGTGCAACGGCGGCAACACGTCCATCGCAAGAGTCAAGAGAGTCTTGTTGGAGATCGCTAATAGGCTCGAGATCAAAGTTGAAGGCATCGACATGGAGGAGGATTCAAGTTGAACACCAAGTCCTGGAACGGGTCCAAGCTATGCATTTTCCTCGGCTCAGTCCACGGAGGATGCTCGACGCATGATGAAGGAGCTGCCCTTCTCTTTAGAAGGCGCAGCAACCAAGCTCGAAGCAGTCGGCTTCGACAGGGAGGCGGAGCCTGAGGCAGCTGGTCAGCGGGGCACTGTGACTGTTTTTGCTCAAGGTGACCGAGTTTAATGCACACAAAAACCAGTATTGAGGAGCCGCTGACATGAGAGATAGCGACGGAATACAAGTTTGTTAGACTTGTACTAGTCCAAAGTCACGCAGATATCACATCGACCTTAGTTGTAACACGACAGTTTTTGCTCAAGACCGAGTTTAATGCACACAAAACCAGAATTGAGGAGCACATGAGAGATAGACTGTATGCTAGGATGTGAAACCCAAGCATCCAGACATGAGGGGACCTTAGTAAGACGGCTAGGAAAGCCCCCTCTTCGTCCCACACGCTACATTGGCCGTCGCGAAACACGTAAGTCGTCTTGGTTTACAGGAGAGTTTTTGTTAACTCGGCGCTATCTGACTGGCACGGCTGGCATACGTTCCATCAATAGACTGTACCGTATGCTAGGATGTGAAACCCAAGCATCCAGACATGAGAGAACCTTAGCAAGACGGCTAGGAAAGCCCCCTCTTCGTCCCACACGCTACATCGGCCGCCTCGCCACGTAAGTCGTCGGACGGTCTTGGTTTACAGGAGAGTTTTGTTAACTCGGCGCTATCTGACTGGCACGGCTGGCATACGCTCCATCCGATCAGCGGCCCGGCCGCCGCCGCTTCTAAACACGTTAAAACCTTAAGTTGACGATCATGACTTAGGTAACCGTCGGTCCATGAAGGCATGAGCCTCGGAGTCCGGGAGTCCACCCCGGGCCGCGCCGGGACCCGAACGGTCAGCGGGCCTAGGGAGTTCAACTGCGGCGGAAAACTGTACGGTCGAGTTAACTTAATGCCATAGGGTGGGAACCGGCGGCCGGAGGTTCAGTGAGCTAAATAATAATAATAACTCCTTGAAGAGGACACCTGCGGTTGAGTCACAAATGATTTATGTCAACTGGTCGGGAAGAAGCGCCGTTCCGTGACCATGACCTTATAATAAACCAGGCTCAGTTGCATGAGCCTCATGCTTGCGACCCTAGTCACCACCCATTACCCTTGCATTTAGCTTTTCTGTTAGTATAAAGAAGGGGTGGTCGGGGATGAGGGGACGGAAGAGGGTGGGGTGGGGAAGAAGCTGCTAAGATGCGGCTGCTGGTTTTGGGTTTTAGGGTTCCGAAATCTGCGACAAAGGCGCAAGGAAAGCCAGAAGAATCGACAATGAAGTAGACGAGAACAGAGAGGACAACAACAAGGACGAGTGCATAGACGAGACTGAGGACGAGGACGCAACAGACAAGAAGACAAAAGGACGTGCAGAGGAAAAGGTATAAGAGCAGAGTGGAGAGAAGCAGAAAGGAGGGTCAGTCGCATTTATTTTGAGTCGGTGGACACAAAAGCACATGTTGACAGACGGCCGTTGGCTGAAGGGAGAAGCAAGAGGGAGAAAAAGTCATTCGATTCTACAAGTTAGCGAGATGGAAATGGATGCCAAGGAAAGCAATGGTCAAACATACGGCGCTTGCTCGTTCAAAAGCTTGCTCATATCTACGGTCCAGAAAGGGAACACGAACAAAGCTATGCATCGAAATCTTAGAAGTAGAAACACAGTTGAAAATCCCAACCAGGGGCTGATACCCTCGAAGGCAACCAAAACGAAAGTCTTTCCGAGGAGAAAACGAGGAGAAAAAGAGAGGAATAGTCAAAAATCCCTTGTGCTGGGTCTCAATGACATTAAGAACATGTTCCACATGCGGCAAACGGAAGCCGCAGCTTTCCTGGGAATCTCATTGACAGCCATGAAGAATGCGTGCAGGAGAGTAGGCGTGTCGCGCTGGCCTTACTCGAGGCACCGACCTCGACGAGTCTCTCTCAAAACTCAGACGTCAAGTCATGTTCACGTCAAGAGCACCATCGTCAAAGCCGAACCTGCGACAGCAAAAAGCTGCAGCGATGAAGCCTCTAGAGACGAAATGTGGGAAAACGATGAAGCACTTGATCTGCAACTCCTTTCTAACGATACATCCTTGGACGAGCTGCTGGGTGTGGAAGAGTCTGAATCCTTGCATTCCACCCCCTTTGACCCGGACGACCACGACGCATATACAAGCGCTGGCGAAGGCGTAGATCTTGACGACGACAGCAGCAACGCCAGAATTAAATGGAGAGGTTGTGTCGAAGAGCAGGAGGAGTGCTGTCCAGAAGATATTGTCCATTATTTGCATGCTCCAGGACAGGAAACTCTAGCTGATTGGAGGGACGCATTTCGAGATACAAGCAATGATTCCGAAGATTTAGAGAGAAGATTTTATGAAGATGCTTTTCCCACGATAGTCTGAATTGAAATTTGAGCATCTACTATAACAATAACTTTAGATGGCGAATGAATTTATAATTCAACTCAGTGATATTCCATTTCAACTCAGTGACTCGTTGGACTCCACACTGCTTTTCAAACTCATGATCACAGGACCTTTCTTTCAAGTTTACCATGACGATCCGAGTTCACTGACGGTGCCACTTTCACAAGTTCACTGCTGTGACATCATGAGTCATAGTGATTGCATCCAGAGCACCCAAAGCCGAGCTAGGGCCCCTGCAGCCAGTCGCTCGAACTTCAGTCGCACTCGCGGCTTGGCTTGCAGCCGCTACAGTATAATGAGCCTCAGTACCCATCAAGGCTGCCGCCAGACTCCGTGACTCGCTTCCTGATCACAGTGACCCTGGCACGGCGGGTTTCTAAGTTGGGCTAAAGAAGGCCCGGGACTGATTCGGCCATAGGACCAGGGGGAAGGGAAAAGGGAGAGAGGAGTGAGACTTGGTTGAGGATGGAACGATGTTGATGAAGATGACATAGAGAGCAGAGATGGGCTTGGTGTATGTATCCCGTAGGATCAGATATCTCTAGCTCTTCTCAATTGATCTCGCGTGAAGGCAAAGTGCAAAGAGAGGAGGAGCTCGCAAAATGACTCAGTTCCAGCCATCGTCGCTCGAACGCAAAGTTGTCGAGCTGAGGAGAGACTTTTACAGGATCCTGAGGTGATGTTCATACTGTCATCCTGCAGGATTATGTGTTAAGGTTCTCCAACAGCAGGCGATCAGCACGTACGCGCGATGCAAAGCCGGAGGAGAAGGAGCAGACGAGGGGCAATGTGTGTATCAATGGCGATTGTCCTCAAACCTGTGAACGTGTGTGGGCCTCGGATGCTGCAGCATCTTTAGCAAGAAGCTCAGGAGTCTATTCAAGCAAGTGGGAGGGGGTTGCTCTAGCACTAGCGAGCTCAAAGTATCAGGAGGCAGAGGAACAGCAAAACCTCGCAGTCGGTTCAGACGCTGCCAGCGAGGATTCACTTCGGCGTCTCCACCATGAACTGAAACACGTCAAGGACTTGGAAGAATATGTGGAGGAGTCCGAGGATGACCAAAGACAACACGAGTGGTGGAAGTGGAGCAAGCAGGAGTTGCTCGCGAAAGCAAGGAAGATGCAAGACTTTCGTAAGAAGCAAAAAATGACCTTGAAGATCCTCCGCAGACTGGAAAGAGAAGCGAACGATCACATGTGAGCCTCCTCTTCCATGGCGTTGCAAGTGTTACTCACCTGATTAGCGACTGCCTGCGAGCTGCTGTCCGCACCTGTAGGTCTGTGCTGCACGATATGGAGAAAAAGGTGAGAAGCCTACCCTGCTGATGAGATAAGTGAAGTCGCGTCAGATGACGGCCCGCATCGAGGAGCTCGAAGAATACTTAGAAGTAGCCATCGAAACCTCCTGCTCCAAGCTCGACATGGAAGGTGAAAGCAGCCAATGATAAACTAGGCATGCGCTGACGGCTGCAGGAACCTTGAGGGTTGTCCGGGAAACTGAATCAGACAAGCTCAAGCTTTACAATGCAGAGAAGCAGGTGAGACACTGCGTACAAGCTCTTCTTCAAAGCGTCTTCCTTCAGCATTTGAATTCGCGGGCTCCTCTTCCAGCTCAGGTTGTCGCGCGACATGTTCTTCCAGCTCAAGGAGGAGGTCAACTCGCTTCGAGCTGAACACTCTTGCCTGCAAGACAAGTACCACTGTCTCGTTCCATTCCCTTCGACTTCTCACTCTCTGTTTTCCTCGCCTTCAGCCTTGCTTCAGCTTTGTCACAACTCGCTTTTTCCTCAGAAGAATCCTCCCAGCATTTCGTTGAAGCACAGGTTTCTCGCTCTGCGTCATGACTGCCTCGACCGTTGTGATGTGGTTGCAATAGCAAGCGAAGGCTGAACTCCAGCAGGCGCAGAGAGCAGCGCAGACTGCCAACAAGGAGAGGGAGGAGATGGCGAAGAAGCTCTCAGGTCTTGAGAAGCAGCACCGGGACCTGCAGGTGGAGGCTCGGGGGAAGACAACGTTGAGATTTTAGCAGGACAAGTTACGGGAAGCGAATAGCAGAGCAACGGACGCAGAGAGTCGAGCACAGGCACTTCAACTGCCTTTCTAAGTTGATCGTATGATGTGGTTGCAGGCCCAGGCGGATCTTGCATCGTCAGCGACCAAGAAGCTTGGTATGTCTGTTATAATAACTCCTACGTTGATGACATGAGCAGGCATGCTTGGCATTCACATGGCAGACCGGAAGAACATTGAGGTGCTCAGCTTGCTGCTGCTGCCGTGCCCCTCATGGTGTCGTAGACAAGACAAGTAGCAAGATCCAAGGTGCAGGAGGAGACCGAAGAGCATCTGCCCCAACCCACGACATTCTTCGCTGATTCTCTCAGAGACTTAACCAGAGAATTGATAACTGACGACTCGTAACTTGGATGGACATACGTCAAACTTTACTTCAATCATCCTCTCCGGGGTACATGCAGCGGATTTGCTTCACTGTCTACAAGAACTCAACTTTGGGGTCAGCGCCCATGTTGAACGCGCATCCGTAGCTGTGGCACGTCACAGTACCTGCGAGCAGGTTATCGACTGCAAGTCTAGCAGACAGTTCACCATGGCTGTTCCATCCCTTTCCTTGATGGAGATTGGAGCCAGACCTTCTGATCCCAAGCCGCATATCCTTGTAGTAGTTCTCGATCCCTGATTCCATGGCTGGTAAGCAGCGAAGAGCCAGAGATTGAGAAAAGGGACAGCAGAAGACAGCGAGGCAGGTAGAGGGTAAAAGCGATTGTGAGGAGGGAAGTGCAAGGAGGGATATGGGGAATGGAGGGCTAAGAGATGAATTTCTCACCCTTGGAGATGTCATGAGGGCTCAGCTTCTGAATGTTATCGGCAAGCTACAAACCAGCGGTAAGACATCAAAAGAACTTGAGATGAATCAGCAGCAACTTCTCCCTTTCTACTGTCAATCCTTCCTGTCAATACTATACTTGAACAATCAGCAAGTTGCTCCGCTTTTATGGTTGCTCTACTTAGTTCCTTCTCAGTATGCCTCTCCTGTATATCACCACTTCAATCCACTCCATGATTCAGGCCAAAAGACCTTCAAGGATGAGATCCTCATGAAAAACAAATTTATAAGAGTATTGCTCGATCAAATGTTTATCTATTCATAGGAACAACTTGAATCGCTTGTCCTGACTGGCTCTTCTGCTTATTCTATTCCGTCGGTTCCATTCAAAGCCATTTCCTTTCTCTCCAACGTTAGCCATCACCAGCCCCTTTCCTACATTCAAATATCCTGGTCTGTCTTCTCCTACTCTCCTCGCTTCACCTGTTCGCCATCGCCGAGCTGTCCGTTCCACTGCTTCAGCGTCGACAACATTTCTGTCTCTTCGCTGCTCTGATCTTCATTATAAACTGTTAATTTTGACTATAGACATGCGTGAAGATAATGTGGAGTAGGTGGGGGTGGAGGGGTACATGGATCTTATGGGTGGTTGTGTTATAGGACCACCGGGGTAGTAGAAAGAAAAAAGATTTTTCACCAGGGGTCCTGAGAGGAAAGCAAGGAGAACAATATGCGAAATCGAAATGTATTTTTCGAACTTGTCCAACCAATATCGAAATTAAATAACAGAAGTTCAAGCAACTATCCATTTCAAATCGGAGGCTACCATTTCGAAAAGTGAAATAGCCAGCTGTCCAATGCAGGGTAGAATCCTACGATGCAGGCAGGGCAGGGCAAGGCAGGGCAGGGCAGGGCAGGGCAGGGCAGGGCAAGGCAGAGCAGAGATAATGAGAAGAAGGGAAGGATGAGTGAGAGGGTCGACAAAGAGACAGAGATATGTGGTTTGGGATGGAAAATATGAAAGAGTGCAAATTAAGTGAGAAAAGGGGAACAAAAGAAATTCGTAGATATAGTGGGACACGCAAATCTGACAAAGATTCAGGTATTGTTGTCTCCACACTCGGTGTCGGTTCGGAAAGGTGGTCACCGTAAAAATTCCAACTTTTTATCCCGATACCGTCAAGCTTGGAAAATACCGGGCAAGGGCCTTGGGATCTAAGAAGAAACTCGTTCTTCTTTTCTTGTTGCTTGGTCAATTTGCTCTTGTTCAAACATTCAGAGACAAGGAAATTTGTAGGAGGAAAACTTCGTCTACCAAACGTTCGTATCGTGAAATGGCTGATGATCCAGCAAAAGCAGAAAGTCTGCAGCAGTTCCTTGCCATCACCGGAACGACGGATGTTCAAGCCGCGACACACATGGTAGCTATTTGGCTTTTTGTGGGTGATGCATCTTTGTGATTTCCTTATTTTCAGCTGGAAGGCAATGCATGGGATGTAGGGGCTGCTGTGAATTTCTTCTTCTCTACTGGGGAGACAGGAGTGGGTCATGGAACTAGTGCCGGCTCCACAAATGCCAATGCGACTCAACTAAGAAATTCACCGGTGGAAGTGATGGAGGATGATGATCATGAGCTGCAGATGGCGTTGGCTGCCAGTATATCGAATACGACTGCAGATCGCCCTTCTTCTGAAAATGTCTCTTTTCAACCTCCGCCTTTCAGGCCTCCAGCCCAACCCATACCGCCTCATCTACTCAGGAGCGTTCAAAACGTGACAGATGCTCAAGATGACGAGCTAGAACGCGCTATGAGACTTTCTGCTGCTCAACGGCGACAGGATCTTGAGTCTGATGCTCAACTTGATACTGCCCTCCATTCTTCTGGGGTGATGAGTCACAATCAAGCTACCTTTCGAGATCACTCTGACGGTGAGGATGCTACTGAACAAGCTTTCATTGAAGCTGCAATCAAAGAATCATTAGAACATCCGCAGGTAATCAGCCGCTATCGATTCTGTTTCCCCACGTTCATTGCATACTTGACAGCACAATTTTCTTTCTACTTTTCTGTCCAGATGCTATTCCACCTTCCCTTTGTGCTCTCTTCGCTTTTCCCCCCTTCCTCCCTAACAGTTTATCACTCTTTGACAAATCAATTCTTCAGCCTGGTGTGGATGGAGAAGATGATCCTTTGCTAGCGGAAGCATTGCAAGCCTCGCTGTGCAAGGATGCAGGTTCAATTTTAGTTCTGACTGCTTCAAGCGGAAGCTCACATTCCTGCCCTGTAGGCAACACTTCGAATAGAGCAATGCCAATGATGGAGGACCGATTTCCGCAACTCCGTGCGCAGGAGCTTGCGCAGGTGAATTCACATGTGATTTCGTGATTAGATATCAGAATTGAAGCCAATCCATTGTGTAGAAAAGAGCACATGAAGCGCAGTTTGTGCCAGATGGCTTCGCAGATTCCAGAGCAACTGGAATTCCAGAAAATCTTCGAAGATTTATGGATACTGATGACGACTTTGGAGCACCAAAGTACAATCCTCCGAGTCCTAGTACGATGGAAGCGAGAAGAGTGCGAGAAGAGCAAGATCGTGCATACGAAGAGTCGTTGGAGATGGACAGGTTCCTTAAAATTGGTCTTTCATCATCTTATGCTATTACTTGCAGGGCAAAAGAAATGTCAAAGAAAGAAGCTCAGCTCGCTGCACAAGAAGCTGAGAAAATCGCCAAACAAGAAGCCATGCGGCTTGCTGAGGAGAAGGAGATAAGAAAGAATGAGTTAAACAAGGAGGTTTCAAGGAAGCAGGCCTTGATTCCGGCAGAACCCAAGGCAGGAGAAGAAGGAGTCACCACCATCGGTGTTCGGCTACAGGTGCAATGAATCACCGCGTGGTACCAGTGGATAATGACCTCACATCTGTTTTGAAGGATGGATCTCGATTGCCAAATAGAAAATTCCGTTCGACGGACAAGATCGAAGTGTTGTACAACTGGGTGGAGGTGATTTCTTCTTGAGCCTCTGTGTCACCTCTGAGGCCTTCTCAGACTACTCTACTACAGCGGCAGCTCGAAGCCGGTGATGTTTCGCCCACCAAGCTCTTTGACCTGGTTTCAATGGCTCCTGTCCGCGCTTTCAAAGATAGAAACATGACGCTTGCAGAAGCTGAGCTAGCGAGTCAGACGCTCTTGTCTGTACAGTTTCGTGCCAGCTGATATGCGAAGCCCATTGTCGTTGGGTCCCCAATTAACAGTTGTTGCAAGAAACAAAGAGCTATGCACAAGTTGCTCTCAAGGGCTTAGTCTTACTATCTACTGTTTAGGGTAGAATAGAGCCTCGATCAAAGTCACAATGGAATTCCAACTGCGGAAGCCTTGAGCATCAAACCTGCCCTCAAGCAGCTGCGCAAGTCCTGTGGTCTGCCATCTTTCCGCTTATGTATTTATCTACCGGGCCTACTACACTTTCATTGGTACCGGTGGGATGGTAGAGTTTGTGGGGTGTCAGGTTTGAGGTTCTGTTGAGGACCAGGGTTCTGAACTGTGATTCCGTAGAGGTGACAGGGGGTAGTAATGAACAGAGTGGCACGGTGAATGTGGGGGGGGGGGTTGGTAGATCACGTGGGGTGGGGGTTGTCGGGGTCTTGTAATAGAGATCAATCGCTCCATGCAGGACGGCTACCTGTAAGATCCTGCAGCGTGGCAAGAGGCTGATGGAGTGAGGGAGAGGAAGGGGAATGAAGGGGAAGGGGAAGAGGAGGAGAATAGGCCGACTAGCCGTCCCAATGCCGATGATTGCATCCAGGGATGAATCGTTCTAATCAGTAAGGCAAAGGAACAAGCACAAGCAGCCTGCATAGATTGGGTTGGGCTGTAACAGCAGAAACGTGAAGGATCTTGAAATCGAAGAGTGAAAGCTCTGCATGATGTCTTTGAGTTTGATTTCTGACTCGGAGGAAACGTGCGCTCCTCGTACGTCTCAATGCATTAGCGCAGCGACGTATCTACCGCTGAATTTCTCCACCGCGTTTCAGTAGACACCAGATGTCGAGACATTCAGAGATCGCGAACGAAAGCCGACATATACAGGAAGAGCTGCCAGACATGACAGAATCCCAAGAACTTTCGCATCATGGGCTCTCACCATTGAATGTTGTTGACGAAGAGATGGATGATTTCGGCGTTGAAGACGGAGATTCAGAGCAAGAGACAGCTAACTCACCATCCTCTGACTGGGCAGCGGCAGACTTTTATCCAACCACAGCTGATGGCGGTGGGTCATTCCCAGGTGCTCAAAGTTGTTTAGGGTCTTGATTCTGAGCGGATTGCTAGACGAGTGGTCCAAGTTTTCTGGGTTTGCATCGTTCGAAGAAGTTGAGAGAACTTTGAATGAAGTTTGCGAAGAAACAAAGATTCCCGCAGGTCTTGTCATCTCTGTGCCGTCCCATCATGCAAGTTTAAGTAAACTCAAGGTCCTTCAAACCTCAAGGGCAGTAGAGTTCGACTTTCAGTGAAGCAGACGAGAATACAGCCACACAAGAACTATCAGGTAATTTGACGGCTGATTTGCCGTGCTTGTTCTCAATCACTCTTTCAGGGTTCAATATCGAAAATCTTTGCCGGTCATCTTGAATTTCCCTTTCGAAGAGTTGTAGATCAGGTGTAGTTTGCGTGTACGTTTGAAGCTCAAAGTGAATTCAGAATACCTTTGAGGAGCCGCATAAGAATGACGCGAGCAACCAAGGCGCTGAGAGATCAATCACTATCGGTACACCCATGTCAACTGCTCTCCTCGTATCACCATATCCTCCAGGGAGAACTGCTTCTGCCTTGTCTGATACCAACGAGCAAGAGGTATCCACGATCATTTCAAATGCTAGGCGAGACAAGAACAAATTTCAAACTCAATCTAGGTTCCGGATAATCTCGCTAACGTTGCAGAAGACGAGTATGAGGAGGAGGAAGACAAACAATGGAAGTCTGCTCTGGTGAGCAATATTCCCCTTACTTATCTCGACTCATGCGTCGGAGCAGAAAGTGTATGCGAAGTCATTCTTGGTAGTTGCACTTGCAATTATGGAATCTGTGACTTTCTTGGTAATATGATATCTTCTGTTTCTTGTCAAATTCTCATAAGTTACCTATTTAGTTCTTCCAAATCATCAAAGATGGAAATTTAGTGTTTTGTGAATTTCGTGCGAATCAAACGATTGTGAATGTTGCGCACGTAGAACTGATGATGTCAATCATCGTTCTCCACTGTATCAGTCTGGCAGCATCAGGGAGAAAAGCAGGATGGAGAAGAAATTTGTCTCTCATCGGATTTAAGGAGATGATCAGCTCTGTCACCTGTTGGTTTGTTCCCATCCTCGTCTGCAGCGTCGTCATGATCCTAGTCTGTATCTCCGAGTGTCCTTCTTCAAATGATACCAGTCGTATGAGCACGAGGATCTCAAACGCTTTGCACATGTCTAGAATACTGCTAGCCATCTTGAGAAGCTTGCAACTCGAAAAACAGCTTCGAAGGCAATTGCAGGTGATGATTGTATTCCCTACACGACATAGTGTGACCGCAAATTTCAGACAGCAATAAGCGGAAGACGAAGACGGTTTTACGACTTAAACAACGACTTTGACCTGGACATCACCTACGTCTGTGATAGACTCATTGCAATGTCAATCCCGTGTGTTGCCGGGGCCATGCATCGTAACGATATTCGCGATGTGGCTCGTTTCTTCGCCACACGTCATTACGCTTCCTTCGTCGTGCACAATCTATGCGAAAGCTTTGAAGAGAACGGGAATGGAAATTATGATCCGAGATTCCTCTACTACCAGGTCAAGAAGATCCCAACGCGAGATCACAACGTGAATTCACTTCTTCGTATCATCGTCTTCTGTGAACAAGCTACCAAGATCTTGAATGAAGATAACGACAACGTTATCGTGATCCATTGCAAGGGAGGTAAGGGAAGGACTGGAACGTTCTGCTGTGCTTTGATGCTATGGACTGGATTCGTCTTGTCTGCCTCGGATGCTCTGAATTACTTTGCGGAACGAAGGACTGAAGGTAGCTCGCAACACAAGGGGAGAATCTGTGTGACAGCTCCGTCACAAGTGAGGTATGTCAACTATGTGCACGCGATCGTAGACAGGCAAGTGGATTTCATCAGCAAAAAGCACTTGGTGCTTGGTAGCATCATCATCGCCGGCATCCCTCGAGCTCAGCAAGGAGGGTGTCTGTTAAGTTTCGTGATCGAGTGTGATGGAAGAGTGCAATATGATCACGGCAAGACCAACGGGCTGGTGTCTTGTACAGGAGAACCCAGAGAGAGCGTGATCGACATCGGTTTCGAGCTCTTGACTGGCGACATCTCCATCCGATTCTATTGGTTCGAAAGCACTGTGCCGCCTTTGGCCATCTGTGGCAAGACTGCACGGGTCCTTCAAGGCGGAAAGCGGGTTCAATATGACAACATCTTTGGCAAGTCACTTTTCTTTGTGTCGTTCCATACATCTTTCATCATGGAGAATGAGATGTTCTTCAAAAAGAGTGAAATAGATGGAGCTTACAACAAACCCTCAACCAAGTTTGATGATGACTTTGCGATTCGCCTCCGTATGTGGGAGGGGCTTGGGTCCAAGTCAAAACCTGAAGATTCAGCTATTTCAGACAATTCGTATCTTGATGCCCTACAGAGGCAAAGGTTTCACTGGGGAATGATCTTGTCACTACCGCATGCCCTGCGAGAGCTGCGCATTCAAGACGAGGTTCAGCGGATTTTCGCTCAGTGCTGTCCTATTGCACAGACGTTTGGAAAGGGAGAGATGATATATTCTCCGGTCTTGAGCTCAGGAGGAAGACAGCTCTTCTTGATTGTGTCGGGGATCGTGATGCTTGATGTGGGAGGTGCCCAGCTGCCGCTCCCAGTGCTCGCTGCTGACAGCTCGGCAGGGAAGTTTCGGACGTCGAAGAAAGACACGGACCTCCCTGGGATCGTCCTCGGAGCTGGAGATTTCTTTGGAGATCTGTCCTTCTTTCTGGGGCCAGACGAAGACAACTCTTGCGATCATGTCAAGGCGTACTCAGCAGCAGTCAAGGTGAGCCGCTACTGTACCACACGAGCCATGACGCTGTGCAGGTTAGATCCATCTGTGTGGAAAACAAGAACGCCGGGCCACCTCTGCAGATAAACAGCTTGACAGACATCGATCTTGACATACTCTATCACGCACTTGCCAGGGAGTCCACGGCCAAGTCAGCTGTGTACGAGCGACACCTTGCCGAGTCCACAGTGATGGTGAGTGAGCCGCTTGGAGTCTTGAAGAGTCTGAGGTGAGCCAGGCGGATCTCAAGAGAGACAAGAAGAAGTTCGCCATCGAAGCTGAGATCGAGGCCATCATCAAAGGGATCCGACAGAAGCAAAAGATCCCTGCCGCGCAACCCTACCTCTTCTCCACCTCAGCGTCGATGCAGCGATCGTGGGCCCCTGTGCGCAAGTCCTCGCTTGTACAAGACTCCAACGGAGTGATGGTCATATTCCCGGAGATGGTCTGCTTTGCAGACTCTTCTAGTGACGTCAATTTTCCCATCAATGAGATCACGAGCGTCACAGTCAAGAGCGAGATGCTGACAATCTTTGCCAGACCGGTCAAACGAGTCGACGCAGGTGGAACAAGCGACGAGAGCAGCCCCCGAGCATCTGCGTACTCCACAGACTCCATGCTGGAGTCCCCTCGAAACAAGAGGAGGGTGGAGCGATTGTCTCCCAACAACAGGTCTCGTCAGATTCGATTGAAGCGATATTCTTACAGCTCCGACAACGTCAAGCAACACCTGGAGAATGAAGCCGCAAAGAAAGTCGAACCGGTTGACCCTCGCCCAGTTCGAAATCGAAAGAACTTCGGGGGAAGCTTACGGAGTCTTCTGCCCGGCAAACAGCTGGAGGAGGATTCAGAGTTCGTGGAAGCTTACAGGTTTTGGATTGTCAGCAGGCAGACGGCACTGGCGGCTCGCGACATGATCCGGGGGCTCCTCAAGAAGACACAGGTGGAGGCGCTAGAACGCAACTTCTTCAAGAACTCTGAAAGGGAACACCTTGAAAGGTTCGCAGCAAAACTTTGCAAGAGGGTCTGACATACCTTTCAGAATCATTTTTCAGTTTGAGTTGGTATCAGGGAACGAGCTCATCAACGAGCACGACCTTGATAACATCCTCGAATTTCTCGAGCGCTGTCCTCTCCTCAGGTGACTGACTTCTTCCGTTGTCAAACTGTGACTCCCACCCAAGGTTCCAGGCGGGAGAAACCATCGCGGAACGCGGTAGCCTACGCAAAGCGATCTTCTTCATCTTGCAAGGATCAGTGACAGCTCGGGCGGACAGAGATCGAGTAATGAGCAAGCGAAGTAAGCAGGACTGAGCGCTATGCTCCGAATCTGAATGCCTGCAGGGTCAGGAGAGCTTTTCGGTGGAGGAAACTTGTTCGGTTTAGGAAATGTTGGCTTCTTGTACCAGGTCCGAGAAAAAGATGAGATAGAGGAAGAGAGGAAGGTGAAGGTGAAGATGCGGCAGATGGTGGCGGAAGAGGACGCGGTGTGCTTAGAGATCTCTCATGATGTGAGTGACGCTTGTCGTATACTTTGCTTCTCATGCATGACTGCAGGTCCTTGAGACCGTCCGCCTACGGCAGCCCACCCTGGCGGCGAGGATGTAAGAGCTGACCACGGCGATCTTTTTGTTGTACTGACTGTCTACTAGCAACAGATCCATCGCCCTCCGCGCTTGTCGCAAAATTCAGAGCCAGCTGGGAAAACTTTATCTGTCATGACGTATGGGCAGATCACAAAGGAGCAGAATCAGCGTCTAACTGATCCCACAAACAAAGAATTTATCAAATGTTAAACAATACAATTCTAGCATCGAGGTGGTCTCGAAGATATCAGCCTATATTTGGGCAGCTGCGGCAGTTACTGGATCTTGCGTTGAGAGATGCGGGAAGTGGCTGCGGGCTTCGACGGGCTCGGCATTGGGCTCACGTTGGGGGATATCAAAGAACCCTTGGGGCGGAGGGTGAAAGTAGAGTGCGAGCCAGGGATAAGGTCAGGGAAAGGGATGGTGTTGCTATTAGCAGTGATAATGTTGCCATGCCCCTGCAGGAGCACGTTACAAGTGACAAGGGGACCATTAACGTACCTTGAAGACATGTCTGCGCGGACTAGCGCATGGGTCTCTTTGATCCATGTGCACCAACTCCAACTCCTCCGTTGGCCAGCGATCCCATTCAAGACGAAGAACGGTCTTGCCGTTTCTCTCCTGCTCGAATGTGAGGTCCAATGCCATGCATGTGTTCTTTGAGTCTCACCTGCACATTCCAACTGCCTTGTTCGCCATTACCGCGTGCAAAACGGCCGTTGGTATCGATCGTGATCGTGTCCTGCGTTGAACAATAAGCGGCGCGAAGAAGCAGTTTCGGAGGTCACACCCTCCAGTTGAAATGAGTGGCATCCCACTCGCCAACCACATCCACAAAGTACTCCTAACAAACAAGTCAGAAAACATCCAACCCTCGATTCTTTCTCCATGCCTGACTTAAACGTTGTACCACTGCTGATGGGGCGACATTGGGACGTCCAGTCCATTTATACTTGATCATAACTCTTTCAGCAACTTCGTCGATGACTTTTAAGGCTGAGATCAAGTCCTCCTCTGTGTGAGCTGCAGACAAACAAAATCGAACCCTTGATTTGATCAGCGGAGTGGCTGGGAATCCAACAACAACTACTGCTAATTTGCGGGCCAAACATTCTCTGGAGAACGCAGGAATCTTTGCTGGGTTGTACAGCATCACTGGAATCACAGGAGAGTCCGTGTGCCCAAGCACCTCACACCCCATTCTCTGAAGGCCAGCCCGAAATAGGTTGGAATTGCGCCTCAGCTGGTCAAGTTTTTTCTTTCCCTTGTCGGTGCCGTCTTCTCCAGCAATCATTCGCAGGGCCAGACTAGCCTGCGTTACACAACCAGGAGACATTGAGCAAGCATAGATTGATCCTGGTGACATTCTCCTGATGTAGTCAATCACCTCCTTGGTGGACGCAATGTACCCTCCGACTGACCCAAACGACTTGGTGAACGTTCCCATCATGACATCGACATCGACTGGTTCAACTCCGCAGTATTCCAGAACACCCCGACCAGTCGCACCCAATGCACCAATACTATGGGCTTCATCCACGTACACGTAGGCCTTGTACTTCTTGCAAACTTGAACAATGTTCTTGAGGTCACATACTTCTCCCTCCATACTGTAAAGTCCTTCAACAACCACAAGAATCTTCTTCCATGGAAGTTTTGTACGCGGTTGTCCCTCTGCAATGGAGCTGCGAAGTATTTCTTCCAAGCTTTTGGCACAGTTGTGCTTGAACACCTTGATCCTGGCATTACTGCTCCTGGCTCCAGTCACAATAGATGAGTGGTTCAATTCGTCCGAGATGATCAGTCCCCCAGAACCGACTAAAGTTGGCAAAACCGTGGAATTCGTTGCAAAACCCATTCCAAAAACAATTGCAGCCTCCTTTCCCAAAAATCGTGCCACCCTGGCTTCGAGCTCGTGATGAACATCCGTGGTACCCAACTCCGTCCTTGAGCTTGCATTTCCAACCCCCAACCTCCTCATAGATGATACAACCTGGACAAAATCAGTCAGGAAAAACAACAATTAGAAATAAAAATTTGAAAGTGTTGTTATACCTCATCCCTCATTTCAAGATCCGACTCAGCAAAACCAAGATAATTATAAGATGAAAGATTCAGTGCTGTAACATGGCTTCCAGTATGCCGCATGGTACTCTAACACAAAGGCAATCATAATACGTTAGCAGAAACAAGCATGTAAATACCATTTCAGCATTAGCAAATTCACGCTCAATGACATCGATCCATGCCCCTGGTGCACTTGATATAGGTCGATTGAAGCAATCCTGAAGCATCCATGAAGTTCAGGCAAATTCATATAGAGTGGCAACAAGCTAACCTGAATACGATGGTAGAGGCGCCTTGTGTAAAAATCTTGGAAATCGTTCATCAATTTGGCAAAGCCCTGACTCACACTCAGATCTTGTTGTTATCAAACAGCAAAACTGACTTTAGGTGTCGGAGAACGGTAGCGTCCAGGGTCAACAACGCACATAACATTGAAGACAGCATCGCGCAAAGTGCCAAAAACCATCAAAATGGCATATGAAAAATAGGTGGTCAATGCAGCAATCCATGGGACCTGCATCAATGTCATATTCATATCGGCAGTTCAAACGGCATACCGTATGCTCGGTTTCCAATTCAAGCTCGTGACCATCTGGCTTAGGGCTCTTTCCTGTCACGGGTTCAGATATGACAACGCAAAGATGCACATCCACGTTTTCGAGCAGGAGCAGGTTCTCCACGAGGATAAACTGGCAGGACAAAACTTCCTTTGCTGTACATGCAAATAAGCATCCCAGGGAAAGGATTTTACCAAAATGCAACCTCTTGTTCGATTTCCTCGGTACAGTACTCACTGACTTATTGTTCTTGAAATGAAAGTCACGTGCCAAGAAGACAATAAGCAATGCGATTTCCATTACCTTGTCACGAGCAGGACACCTGCGATTCATTTAAGTGAATAACCGGCAAGGAGGATTGAAAGCAAATACATTGCACTTGGTTGACGATTAAGCAGATGACTCGGCAGCCCCCTGGCACAAACTCAGAATCACTTGACCGAAAGAATCTTAGAAAGTTTCTGAATGGAAATAAGAACAGTTTTCTTGTGAATTAACTTCTTGTCGCACAGCCACAATATATGTTTGAAAGAAATTATCAATGTCTGATCTGATTAGCAAGGGTGCATCATTATTAGGAAGAGCTACATCAAGTCCTAACACTGTGATATATTAAGGACGTGATCCTGTCCTGATCCTCGAACTGACATTTTTCAAATGCTCAAAAAATAACTGTTTGTTTGATCCCCTTCGTATTGTTCACCGAATGTTGTAACCACATCCATCGTTTCATCTTCAATATTAATCTGATAGATTTTCTTGATGGTAACACTTTCTCCATTGCTCGTCAATCTTCAAGTGGTGACAAGAATCTTCGAGCATGCCATTTTTCGTCACTTTGCTAGGCCTGCATGACTATGCCTTCAGCCGTTTCCCTCCCTGGTTACCTAATGATCAACCTTTCCCACTTATGTATCAGCCCTTCCTTTTGAGCTGGCTATGATTCTCTGGCTGTCTTAAGCTTGCTCTCCCTTCGCCATAGTCCCTTCCTCGCTACTCGCCCACTTTTATGCTTTGGCGCCTTCTGCATCCGCGGCTTCTACTTGGAGGAACGAGACAGAGCTCAAAAGGGGGGTGGTGGTGGTAGGCTACAGGGGTGTAATTGCCACAAAGGGTGAGGTGGGTATCCACAGGTCATATCTGGGGGTTGTATATAAGCAGGATCACGGGTGGGGTAAAGGATGAATAGGATTGTTTGGGTTATAAATGTCTCGATTCAGGGGGTGGGTGACTGCTATGGGGGGTGGGGGGTCACAAGTATGGCTGACAGCTGCTACTGCGTTGGCAAATGAGGGAACGGGGGGGTGGGGGTTTATTAGTATTGAGCAGAACAGATCATGAGGGTAGGGGTATGATTTTCCATGGGGTTCAAAGTAGAAGGAGGGGTATAGTTGACCGGGAAAGAATTATTGTAAATACGGGTAGTAGGATGTTTCTTGGTTGGTTAGTCACCAGGGTCCCGGTAGATCCCCTTGAATGGGTAGGGTTCATGTCAGGGTGTTTAAGAGTGGCGCCAGCACCCACCCCATAATCCATGAATCAGTGCCCCACCCTGAGGATTTTGATGACGGGCCAGCACTATGGCTCGTTGCGAATGTCTTTGAGCTGCCCTTCTTCTCCCCATCTTCTACATGTTTGAATTACTATTAATGGCAATAGATAATTCACACCAACTTCGCCTCTCCCCGCCCTGCACTTGATGATCCTCCTCCCGAAACATTTCTCCTTCCTCGGCACCTTCTACCACCCTCTCAAATTCGTCTACTTTCCCTAGTACCCCCCATCCCTAAATTCAAATTAGGTTTGGAGTCCCTACCCTACCCTACCCTACCCTACATTGCCTATCTCCAAATTTGAAATCCCATAATTTCTCAGATCATACCCTTCTATGAGAGGGAAAAACCACCCGCCTTGGCTCCATTCTCCCCACCCAAAGCTTGTCCTACCTACTACATCGCCTTTAGAATTTAAAATGTGATATGGCAATTTGAGATTTTCATGAGATCTATCAAAATCTTGCAGCTTTTCTCTAAAAATTTTCTCATCCGACAGAACTAGTAGCTCAGGGGCTAGTGCTGATCTTTAACTTAACTTTGAGTAAAGCGTATATAGTATCGCCGGACAGTGTCCTGCATCTGTCACGGATAATAAAATGCAATTTTACAAAGCATAGTAATTTTTAAAAAGAGAACAGGTTTTGCTTGAGGTTTACTGGGGAGGCGTGAGGCAGGAATGCTGCCGCAAGTAAGTTGCGAGGGGATAATGTGCGACACACAAGACTTGTGATGGTTCATGGCAGGTTGCTGTGGTAGGCGCGGGTCCTGCTGGCTTGTTGGCTGCCCTCCTTTTAGCTCAAAGGGGACTGGATGTCTGTGTATTTGAGCAAGCTCAATCTGTATCTGAATGGAACAGCAGATCGTACTCGATCAACTTGAATCAGAGAGGGCTGAACTCCTTGCAGCATGCAGGTCTACTTCATCAAGTGCATAAAGAGGCTCTCATCAGAACAAGGATAATTGTCAAGTCAGGAGACAAGGAGAATGTGATAGAGCGTAATCCTCCGCAGTATGCAATCACCCGAACTGCTTTGACGAAGCTTCTGACACACGCATTGCGAGCAATGCCTAACGCAGACATCAGCCATGGTGTTAAGGTAGATGACCTGAATGCTCGTGAAAACGGGAAACTTCTAGAGTTGAGTTTGAGTAATGGTGATGCAAAAACATTTTCACACGTGATTGGAGCTGACGGCAAATGGTCTGCAATTCGGACCTGTAGCCCATTCAAACATACTGGGGACAAAAGCAAGATGTACAAATATCAGGAAATCAAAGAAAACTCATGGGGCGTTTCGTTTAGCCTGACCAGATGGCCTGATCATGTTGAGAAATCTTTACATGTTTTGAAGCCGCAAACTCCGCAAATTGCAATGTATCTTATGCTCGCTCCTTTGCTCGACGGAACGGCGTCTATTTCCTGGGTATTGTTCAACGAAATTTTAGCTTCGTATCCCTGGCTGCAACCAACGGATGGTAACATCATTTCTTGGAATGGTGAATCTGAAAACAATGAAACCCTGATGAGAGCAAAAGAATTGTTGGGCAAGGAGTTTCCATTCCTAAAAACTGCGGGAATCTTGGACAATATTTGTGACATGACAATAAGTCGAAGAGTATCTTGGATCAAAGTGGAAGATTGCCTCAATGCTTGCAATGACCGTGTTGTCCTAATCGGGGATGCCGGCCACTGTATGACTCCATCACTTGGGGAAGGGTGCAATTGTGCGCTTGAAAGTGCGGCTCGCCTCAGTGAAGCTATCCAGAAGCACCTCAACGAAGCTGACTCAGCCATATCGACAGATATTCTAGATCGCTCGTTCAAAGAATTCGGAGAGTCACGACTCAAGGAGGTCTTGGATGTGCAACTGCGATCGGCTATGGCAAGCAGCGTTTTTCAGAATTCGAAGTAGAAAACTTTTGGATCGGAATTAGATATAGTGAAGTGGAAAAAATGTTAATCCGGAAAACAAATGTGAAGGGAAAAGTAAATATTGAAAGCTTTTTGATACTTGACATTGTGTTCTAAACCATTTGTGCAGTCAGTGATGCAAACTCTATTCGTATATTCCCATTTCACGTTGGATGCTGCCATGGTGCTCAATTTCTTGCATTGAGCACAAATAATTGTGTTGTATCAAGAGGCCTCTCGCTTTCACATAAAGTAAGATTAAATGATAATCCGAATTTAAAGGAGTACATGGTTCAGGGTTTACATCCAAGTCTGACCTGGCTGGGCTCCACCCTTCCTGTCTTGTTGCAGCAGTTTACTTACTGAATGCAGGTCCAGGCTCTTGGAATTGCACTCTGATTGACTGGCAGAATCGGAAATTGGTCAGTAAAAGGCGCACAAATGAATGGTTTACTAGACAAGTGACCTAGCAGTCCGTTGCCTTCTGTCATGTCAATTTCAATGATGCCCAGGCTGTCGTCAAAGATTTTTGAGAGACAGGCAACGGATGGATGTAATTTATTGCAACAAAGCAGAACATTCTGAAAGACTCTTGTGATCCCCGAGTAAGATCAGGGCTTGAAGATCGTGAGGGAGGAAAAGGGGGGAAGAGAAAGAAAGAGTGAGAGTCTCACCTCCGAATGGAAAGCAGAAGAATCGAAGAGGGCAGGCATAAAACATTAAGTAGTGACTTCAAAGGATTGAAGCGAACATTGAATCTTTCTCAGTCATGTAACCAAGACGCAAAAGTGATAACAGGCAAGGTTAGCGAGCATTGATATCTTGTGAACTCGTCTCATCATAGGAAGCAGTTGCTTGGAGGAGAGGCGAAGGTCCAACACGGGGCGGCAGAGAGAGAGTAAGAGTAAGGTTCTGACCTCAGATTGGGGAGCAGAAGAATCCAAGAGAGCAGGGAAGAGAGAGACTGAGAGATAGAGGATCGGTTTCATGCCCGAGTGAGGATAGGAAGGGAATTTTGCAGCAGGAATAAAAGATCCATAGAAAACAAAAATTGGAAAAAATATTTGCACTGCACAGTTCAGGGAGGCAAAGATGATAAACGTGTTCAAATACACCAACGTAACATTGCATGGGACCTGAAGCTCCAGCATGTGATGGACTTCAAGCTCAAGAATTCTCATGCAATTAGAGCATAGGGACACAGGCTAAGTTCCCTCACCCAACAATGCTGTTTGCAAGAGGCAGCACACCGGGCAAGGCGAATTCACTATCAGCTACTGCAGTATGAGAAATCGTGCGAAATTGCGAACTGTGATTTACTTGATGGTCATGATTGAGCAAACTTAAGCCATTGAAGGGTTCTCTACCATGTCAAGAATTTTCTGAACTTTCTTGACCTTAGGATCCTGTGCTGCTTGCTTCATGGCCTTAGTTCTCATCTGCGATTAGAAAATACTTATCACTCTCGCGTTCTACATAATATCAAGCACAAAACCTGAATTGCTTCCTTCTTCTTCGCCCAGAATGCATTTCCCTTGACTTTGCGTTTCTCCTCAAGCTCCTTGATGGTGTCCCAATGCTTCCATCCGACTTCAGAGCACATGCGTCCGAGGTTGGTGTATTTCCTATTCGGCTTCAGGCGGAGGATGCGAAGCGCTGTCGGAATGACCACGCGCTTGACCTTGTCATAGGGAGGAGGAATGCCCTCAAACACCTGCAGAATGACCAGTCAGATATCAAATCTCAGAAACAAGCTAGCTGTGCGTTTCAATCCGTTCACCTTGAGTCTGTCAAGGGCAGCTTGGCAGCGAGGAGACTTGTGCTGCATCATACCACGGATAACCCTCCACGCCATCCTTGCAGGGGATCGGAAGTGGTAAGGACCCTTGGAAGGGTTGCTGTTCTTCTTCTTGCGGAGCATGGACATGAAGAGGTACTTGTTGCGGATGAAGCTTCCGCTGATGTTGAGCTCCTCACATCTTGTAAGAACAACATGCTGACCTCCGAGAAGCTCTTTAGCGATGATGGAAGCGAGTCTTCCAAGCAGGTGGCCCCTGCAGTCAACCACCACAACTTTGTCAAACATTTTCGCTTCTCGCTGCTCCTCCACCCGCCTTGTCTGCACTCGCACGCGCTCTTTTTTTTACCTTGCCCACCCCCACCCCTGTTTCAGGTATCATCCTACCTACTGCCTGGAACTACCCCTCCATACCATCCCTCATTTCCCACCACCCCACCCCTCTTTCCAATGAGATCCCGGCGACTAATGATGGAACACACTGACACATTAGTACCCCACCCCGTCCCATTGCTCGGTCCCGGGCCTACCATTCCGTGATTGAAGTTCCTAGTACCCCAGACCCTCCTACCTCTATGATGGCTCTTCTACTACCCTACTTTATCACCTCCAATCATCCACCCCCCGGGCCCCGGGCCTATCTCTCGCATGCCGTACTGGGCCCGGGCCCGGGCCTTCTCAGTCATCTTCCGACCGTACTCTGACCGTACTAACAAGGATTTTGAGACAAAATTTAAGAACCGTGTTCTAGAATTAGAACAAGAATTAGAACAAGAAAGTCTTCATTGCGTTAGAGCCGCTCATGCCATGGTTGCCGTCTTGGTGCGGCTCCTCCTCCTCCTCCTCCTCCTCCCGCAACTTTGTTTGAACTCGAAGGGCCTTCTATATCCCCTTCAACTTTCTGCACACCATGAGCACCATGCGCGCAATCTACTCAGCTCGTTTCACCAGCCATCATCTGCTCAATCATGCCGGTCACCCATGGCAAACCTACGACTACGCGGAGGAGGAAGAAGACGGCGCGGGCAAACAATGCATCAGCGAATGAAGAATTTGGAGGAAATGAATCGCCCCATCACAAAGATGGTGATGTCTTCTCTGCTAATATTTTTTCATGATGTGTGTGATGCAATATTGAGCAGCGCATCAAGAGAAAGAAAACACGTGAATGGCTTCGCACCTACGGGCAACCGACTCCTCACCTCACAGCAGTTCTCCATGTAAGAGAAGAGGATGTACGGATCGCTGGCCTTGTCCCATCATTAACACTTTGTATCTCATCATTCTGTCCTTGCATCCCATCATTCTCCCCTCCTGCCCTGTCGTTGAAAGGTTCGCTAACTCTTCGTCAGGCTGTCGACAACACGGGAGCAGCCGACCCTGTGTCAAGGTAAGTCTTACATAATGTCAACCAAAATGGGTGAAGCTTTGCCGAAGAAATCCACTGTTATGGAATGAGCTCCTACTGGATGGAGAAAAGATGTTGATTGAAATGAGGCACAAGTTATACCTGGAAGCTGGCTCCAAGTCCACAAGGGCACTTTCAACCAGGCATGCACAGAACGAGCGCGAAATTCAAATTCTGGATGTGAGAACTGCCTGCTTTGATGGTCGGCTAGTCTTTACAAAATGTCTAGGCAGCGCAAAATATGTTATGGAGCAACGCCATCACAAACGACTTGCGAGGAGTGAGTGCACGGCATCCTTGCAAGTGAGTTAAGGAAAAGAGATTGATGTTGTTTGCAGGTGAGACATCTTGTCAAGAAGGTTGGTATCGATGTCAACATCGCAGATCCCAAGTTGGAGCAGAGTGTGGATGTCTGGAAGTGGCTGACAGCTTCTCAGCTGTTTTATGGCCACGAGTTTGCATCTTGCTGCCGGAAAAGGAAACGTCTGGGTGGTGCGATGGTGATGCCAGATGAAGTGGAAGCAGTTCCTGACGCTCTGCCTCAGGTTGCTGCGATATGGAGCTGATCCCAATGCGAGAACTGTGGATGGGCACACCCCGCTGTGAGCTAACGACCCCTTCCTCCCTCAAGCTCATCCTCCTCCTTCCTCCCTCAAGCTCATCCTCCTCCTTCCTCCCTCAAGCTCATCCTCCTCCTTCCTCCCTCAAGCTCATCCTCCTCCTTCCTCCCTCAAGCTCATCCTCCTCCTTCCTCCCTCAAGCTCATCCTCCTCCTTCCTCCCTCAAGCTCATCCTCCTCCTTCCTCCCTCAAGCTCATCCTCCTCCTTCCTCCCTCAAGCTCATCCTCCTCCTTCCTCCCTCAAGCTCATCCTCCTCCTTCCTCCCTCAAGCTCATCCTCCTCCTTCCTCCCTCAAGCTCATCCTCCTCCTTCCTCCCTCAAGCTCATCCTCCTCCTTCCTCCCTCAAGCTCATCCTCCTCCTTCCTCCCTAAAGCTCATCCTCCTCCTTCCTCCCTCAAGCTCATCCTCCTCCTTCCTCCCTCAAGCTCATCCTCCTCGCAGTCATTGGGCAGCAAGCAAGGGGTACGGCGAGGTTGTACGGCGGCTTGTTCGAGCAGGTTCAGGAGCAGATAGCTCGCTTGAGATGAGCCTCAGCTTGCTGGCAGGAGGAGATCTGTCCGCAGAGACTTACGAGGCGAAGGTGACGCCGCTACAGGTCAGCCATGCTCCCCTCCCGTCTACTCTGATCTGCTGCAGGCCGCCATCATCAACGGCCACGTTCTCTTGTCGGAAGAGATCCGCGACCTGGCGGGGATCAAACATCGAGCCATCCGTTAGGGGAGAAACGAAACAAATCAGCCGGGGGAAGACAGACAAAGAGAAGAAGGCGATGATTTATCAAGAGACACAGCACGCGCTTCCCTCCCTCGTCCTCGCTCCCTGCACGAGTCTAGCCTTCCGTCAGCTGGGCCTCGTCAGGACAACCTTACCTTGCCCCCTCCTCCTCCGTTCCCCTCAGCTCGCTCGCGTGCCGAATCTGAGCGATGTTCTCCTCTTGCGCGCGCCATTCATACCTCGAGTGCTGATACGCGCTCAGTCGTCACTCTGAGGCGGCAGGTTGACTCACGTTTGCTCGCTCGATGCTCTCGCTCGATAGGTCAGAAGCAATCCACACGGACACGCTCCCATCGTAATGCGCCACCCAAACCTGCGCGACGTCATGGAGGAGAGGATGAGGAGTCGCTACCGTGAGGACGCCGAGCAGGTCGTTGGCAACTGCCACCATAGAACTCACGGGCTCACACTGGGATCCGAGAGCGCGAATGACTCGCTTGCTCTTGCTGCTCCACACGCAGATTCTCCCATCGCTGCTTCCCGACCAAACTTCTCCGTTGGGAAGCGCGACAAGCCCGCACACATCCCCCTGCACAACAAGTTTCAGCCTCCTGCTGCCATGCAGTCGTCCTTGCCTTCCCCACGTGCTTGCATTGTGCACTCGAGAACGTCGCCGCATCCCAACAACCCAGCACGGAGTTTCCATGGATGCACCAGATTTCAGCTCCTCGATGAGCGACTTTCTTGTCGCTGAGATGGCCCTGAGGACACGCGACTTCCACCACGTCCGTGATCCCCTCGTCCACGCTCCCCACGATGATCGTCTCCCCGCTCTTGGCATCCAGCACCACAAACCCAGCGATCGAGCCGCAGAAGACAAAGGCGCCGGAGGACGAGGAGAGGAGTGAGAGAATATCCTTCCCGATGCAGTTGAGCTCCTTGGAAACGTGGGGGTCCGATGTCTCGCAGTTCTCCCACACCCACACGATATGTCCAGCTGCTGTCCACATAGAGTTTCCCACCCGCGCGATTGCAAGCACATCCTGCGTGTGACCGGGCAAGAGGCTCCAGAGCTCGAGGGTCCTGGTGTCGAAGGTGCAGATCGAGCCTCCTTGGCAACCCACCCACACGTGGCCCTCCCCGTTGAGCCCTGACACAGCCATGGAGCAGACGCGACGCCGAGAAGGAGTTTGCATCCTCTTGATACAGCATCCTGTCTGCGAATCCCAAACTCCGACGTTCCCCGAGTCGTCTCCGCTCCACACGTTCCTCCCTCCGTTGGAGGTGATCAGGCACTTGCGAGTGTTCTCCTCTTCCCGCCCGCGCAGGGTCAGGAGCGCCTCTGACTGCTTCACGAAGACTTCCTCTAGGTTGCCCCCTGACAGCACTCTCCTTGAGTTATGCATTCTCAGCTTGTAGAGCATCGTCTTAGGCATGCTTCCCAGCCCTCCTGCTGCCGTCATGATCAGCTCGTTGCTGTCGATGGCGTTGCTCGGCATCCCCCTCATCACTTTGAGCGCCTCGTGTCCTGCGGTATCGTGAGGGATGAGACCCTGCTCGACTGCGGTCGCCAGGTCCGACAGCTGCTTGGAGTAGAGCTTGAGGAGGGCGAGAGAGATCCGGAACAGAGTCTTGGAGCCCTCGAAGAGAAGCAGGTCCCAAGCTCGAAGCATGCTCTCACTGGGGAGCTGGTTGAAGAGGCACATGAACCAAGAGACAAAGACTGAGCAGAGAGACTCACGGTCCAACCGCAGCGTCTGAAGGCTCTGCCAGACATCCGGCAGTTTGATCGCCACGAGATCGAGTAGTGTGTGCGTATCTGTGTTCACTCCGATCAAGGATGGATGGTAGAACCCAGGCAGAACGTCTTCGACTATTGCAGCCAGCAACCAGAATGCATCTTCTTCTGCCATGATGAGCAAGAGGATCGCACATACGAAATTCATCCCCTGACAATATCCGATGGTGGGATGCCATAGCGAGTACGCGCGTAAGACTCTCCCAAGCGCGCTTTGTGCTTCATCGGTCTTGTACCTGCGCAAATGACTCATCTTTCAAGCTTTGGGTTCCTTCCACTGCTTGTGTACAAACCGACTCGTCTCCCCCACATACACACATTCATACATACATTCATCTACTCATCTATTTACACATCCATCTACACATCTATTTACACATTCATCTACTCATCTATTTACACATTCATCTACTCATCTATTTACACATTCATCTGTTCATCAGGCATGTACCTGTCATGATTCGGCAGCGTCCGCTTGAGATCTTTGGTGATCTGATCGTCGAAGGGCGACTTCACACCCTCGTACCTCCGCAGCAGCTCGTCGTACGTCACTGCTTACATAGTGACCACATCCCTGCCCCTCGCAAGCTTCACCTGCTGCTTTTCTCTGCTTTGCAAACGACCCTGTCGTCAGCCGCCACACTCGATGCCTGAAGCTTGAGGCGTCAGCAGCAGATCCTGCGAGAGGACAAGCAGACGCAAAGGACAAGGAGAGGAGGACCTGAGCTCGGGAGGGACTCCCAGCCGAACGAGAAGCTTTAGGCGATTTCTCATCGCATCATCCAATATCCCTTCCATTGAAGTCACTCAACACTTTCACCCGACGACTTGTGGCATCAGCAGCATCTACCTGTATGACAACCTAGGAAAGACATCCAGCGAACGCGTTGCTGCGCCACAGTCTCCATGTAGCCCTCAGACCACTGCAACAGGCAATCATGATTCAACGCTCGCGGCACTGATATGGAGGAGAGAGCGGACCTGGAGGAGGCGGTCTCTGTGGGAAGGCTCCATCTTGAAGCCCAGCACATCATGTCCGTGATAGCAGATCAGCCCTGACGCAGGGAGCAGCGGCAGCCACGAGTGAGTGTCCCAGCGAGTGGGCTTAGAGAGCTGTTCCCCGGGATGACGCAGAGCTTCTTGTTTCTTAGACGGCGAAGACTGTCGGGCCTTAGCGAAAAGAGAGAGACGAACGAGGGAATGCCTGAGGATGAGGAGCGGAGGGCCTGCTGGGAGTGTCTTGTCGCTGCTCGAGGTGAGCATCCCGCAGAGTCGACGGCGAATGAACAGCAGTCAAGCTTTGACATGTCGACGCTTTGACGTGCTCGTCCGCTGCAGGCTCTGCAGCAAGTTGAGACGCTGCCGTCAGAGACGATTTCACTTACGAATGCTGGGCAGTTCATCACTAGCAGTAGCTTCCTGGCAGTCCGAGGAGGCGTCAGTGTCAGCGAGGAGCAAGATGCAAACAAACCCTGTGGTCACCCTCTAGTGCATCATTTCCAGTGCTCAAATCTTCTGCTCTTTCGTTGGAGCTTATCAGTGACTCCCCCTCCTTGGTATCACTTGGAGAAGTTACGCTACAGGAGGTAACGCCGTTCTCCTTCACAACATTCTTGTCCTGGTCAGCTTGTGTCGATTTCCCTGACTGGCTGCTCATTTCGGAGTGTCTCAATCAAGAAATCTCGCCATCCGGCGCACATTCAAACTGGGCGGTTCTTGGCTGTTGAGTTCTGTGGTGTTGGGAGTCATTCAGCACTACGACAACTCCTGATGAAGTTGATGGATCTGAAGAAGTTTGTCGCCCGAGCAGCCTGTTGGCAGATATCAGGTGGTGAGAATCAGAGCAAGCATGATATTCAAGTTTCATCTCATCCACATTGTATGATCCCGGTGATTCTTGAGAGGTCAATCATGAAAGCATTGATACTGCCACCTTGACAGGATGACAACAATTAAAGAGCAATACGAATGGATGAGCAAACAGCTTTTGCAAGCATGAACAGGATAAGCATGTGAAACAAGCAGCTATCTACCTGCAGGCACACGCTCATACACATCTGCACCACCATGCTCAAGCCATGCGATACCTATGACATGAGTTTTTGTTAGGGTTTTACAGGGTTTAGGTTGCGGTTTAGGTTCAGTGTTAAAATAATAATCCCAGGCAGCGCCGGGTTTGCAGGCATCATGGTCAGAGACTCACCAGGCTCAGCTGCAGGCTCAGCAGGCTTCAGGCTGCCTTCAGGTGCCTTCAGGCGCATCATGGCGGCAAGCTAGGAGCAGGGAAGGCGGTCTGGGGGCGAAGGAAGCTGCGAGCAAGTGTTTGGCGAGGCATTCAAAGACTCTTCAGAAACCGATGACATATCACGGGTCTCCTTCATCCGTGGTGTCTCTCTCTTTCGAGCAGACGATATCAAAGTTGTCGACGTGGAGGACATGAGCGAATAGCTGAATGTCAACGTCATCGCTCCTGGCGTGATCTTAGGAGGAGACATGCGCTCCCATGCATAGATGAAGGATGAAGGATGAGCAGCAGGCGGAGACTTTCTTCGAGCAGGTTGTATCGTTGAGGCGCAAGTACAAAACATGTCTACTGCTGTATTGTGAGCAGACAGTTCACAGATTGAGACGTGAGGAATGTTTCAAGCTGTATCAGTCCAAGAGGAGTTAGAATACAAAATTGTATGGATGCTTTGCCATGTCAGAAAAAATCTTCATTCTGGAGCCTGTTCTTGCATGTCATTCCTTTCGCTTCGATCCCCTTCATAACCTTGTCGATGTTGTTCAGCATGTTGAGCGTCTCCATAGGGAAATTGTCCTTCACGCTCTACACCCATGTGAACGAAATCTCAAGAACTTCAAGTTGCAGACCGCGGAAGAGTCAATGAAGGCGTTGACAGAGTGACTCGGTGCAACCTGCCTTTGCAACATGGAAGCAAGGTCCTGCCGGCAAGGGTCAATCGAAGGACATCCATTGAGCCTTTCTTTTCACCTGCACAGAAGGAATTTGAACTTGTTTCACCATGTTCTGAGGGACCTCCCGAATCTCGTGCAACGAGTGCTCAACACTAGCCATGACGTTCTAAAAGGCAGCACGTCAGATAACAATCCATCCCATTGCAGGCCTGAGGATGAAGCGACCTTTTGATAGGTTTCAAGGTCAGTCAGGAGCGCATTCGATTTCGATGTGATCTCGTGCACCTAGAAGCTCAATGAGCCGCAAAGAATGCAAGGAAAATGAGGGATGGAAGGAGAAGCATCAAGGAGAGCAGCTGCAAGAGTTGGAGGTCAAAACTCATGAACGAACGTTTTCGCTTTTCATCGCTTCGTTGATTGCTTGTCCTATTCGAGAAATTTAGTTTGGAACTAGGAGAGGCGAGGTTTTGACTCACCGGCAGCATCAATCCCAGCGTCCAAGGCTGCTCGGCCGACTTGCGCACCTGAAGGAGATGAGAGAAGAAAGGGAGATGAAGATGAGAGAAGCAAGGGAGATGAAGATGAGAGAAGAGAGGGAGATGAAAATGAGAGAAGAGAGGGAGATGAAGATGAGAGAAGCAAGGGAGATGAAGATGAGAGAAGGGAGGGAGATGAAGATGAGACCTGCTTCTGCTGCTTGATGCACCATGTCGCTCATGCCGCTCATTGTCTGTGCTTTGAGCCCTTCCATTCCATCCTAATCCTGCTTGAGGTGGGAGAATGACCAGTACAAGTCGCACCTGCGACAAGGTGGAGACGACTGATGCTGTCAGGAAGAAAGTTCCGAGAACGAAGCCCTTCAACACCTACGAGAGGTGCAGATAAACTTGTCGTGCCAGAGGAACAGACAAGGTAACATGAGGAGAGCTGATCAAAGGCTACAGCAGGAAGAGAAGATACAGGAAGGGAACATTGAAGGGAAGGGCGGCACCTCAAACACAGGAACTAACGGCCTTGAATACTCGGTGAGCAAGTCAACAGTCGGTCTACAGGCTGTCAGAACAGGCGGGGCATGGTGGAAGTGAACTACCTCAGGTTGGAATTGAGCTCGTTCATGGCACGGCTGCCCTGATTACTCTTGACGGATAGGAATACGGTCAGGGGAGAGCATGCAGCAAACAGTTCGGTTCTCACAATATCAACAGCAACTTTTTGTGATTGCGAGACAAGGGGCTGCACTGACTCAGTCGCAAGGCTCATTTGAGACGAGATTGTCTTAATTCCACTCTGCAAGGTACATAAGCCGGAAGGAAGAGACCTTAGGAGCACAGCAACCTCCGCTACAGACAGGGTCGGCTTCACCACGGGCTGGAGAAGATTTTCGATTTCTCCCTGATGGGACACGACCTGTACAACTTACATCAGAGATGATTTTTAACAAGAAACATATGTGCTTCCTGCTGCTGAAGATCTTCAACGAGGGTAATAGATTTCTCAACGGCCTGTGTGTAGAGCATAGGCAGTTAGGCGCGAGAAGAGTGGGTTCAGATCAACCTCTTCCACATAAGGAGTGGCTCTTTCTATGGCAGGTTGTGCGATCTTTGCTCCTTGCTCAATTGCCACTTGTGCCACAGGGGTCGAGACCTGGGCGCGATGAGTTGAGTGAGAAAGAATCAAGGGCAAAGACCTCAATGGCTGAGTGAACAAACGAAGCGACAAGTCTGAAAGCCTTGACCAGGGTTAATAGTCTGACTATCACACAAAGCTGCACACACCTCAACACTTGTACTTGCAGCAGTCTGAACACCTTTCACACAGAAAGTTGCAATTGAGATAGTCAGACTGATCGCCTAAAACATCGTTGAAATAAGCTCTTCTCGTCGTTCAATACAAACCTGCACGGTCCCCGTTGCAACAGTGAGAATAATTCCACCAGCCGTTCGCACGGCGGTACCGACGTTCGACACAATCTGTGTGAAAGGTTGAGAACTGGCCCCGGTGAAGAAGGAGAAACTGTACGTTTGGTCCCCGAGTCTCTCCAAGATTTTGAAGGGCCTCTGCTCGTCGTTGGTTCATCTGCTCCCGCAGCCTTCCAGAGATCTACAAGACGATGAGAACGCAAGAAAGGTACAAGTAAAGAGGAAACCCATTTCTTTCGGTGATCCAGCAACTTTGACTTTACTTCGCTGTCATGCTGTTTGACCTGAAAAGTGCGTGAGGGACTTGTGGACTTCATTTCAGATGCTTTACCTCCTGATAACGATGAATTGCCTTATCAACCAAAAAAGCAGCAAAAAGTCCCATCCCTGCTTTCAGGAATGTCGAACGATCCATCCCTAGAATACGCTTCTCGCCTCTTCTTCCCTAAAAACAGTATCCAGCGAGTCAGGTAGGCATAAAAGGAGTCCAGTACAGGAGAACCTTGCCCGAAGTCGAGGTCTCGGTCAACATGTCATCAACTTGTTGTTTGAAGCTTCGATAGGACACATCAACCTTGAAATACACATAGTCAAGGCCGCTCTTAGCATTCAACATGGTAAAACCGGATATTCCCCGTTGTCCAATGCTTTATTGCTGGTTACTTGTGTCAGTCTCATTCGTTCTTTCCGCTTTGATTCACCTAAGAACCATGTCCAACACGAGCTGCTTTGTATCCTTCCCTCCCTTGGCGACTCTTCTTGTGATTCTTCGCAAGTCATCGCCAAGGTTGCCTTCTTCAAAGCTCGATTTTGTTGCTCCCGACATTGTGAATGCAGAAGTGTGACGTCGCACTAAACCATTCGCAGTTTTGAGAAAGACAGGCTGCTTGCCAACACCATGGAAAGATTCGACGGTGACGAGCAGAGCAAAGGCGAACAATGTTGCGACCTGCATCTGGATGATGCAACAACTAAGTAAGTGACAGACAGACATGCCTCGCACATGACAATCTTAACGTTGGAGTATCCTCCTCCTGCTCTTCCTGTTGCTCCTGCTCCTACTATTGCTCCTGCTCCTCCCTCCCTCTCCTCCCTCCCTCTCCTCCCTCCCTCTCCTCCCTCCTGCTCCTGCCTCCCTCTCCCCCCTGCTCCTTCTCTTGTACCATGATTGCCTGGCCCTGAAGTGTTCCCCTGGTATCCATTCGAAACATGAACGGGACGGTACGGCCTCAAAAAGCCGATAAGGGTGAATTTGTAACAAAAATATTTCCAAATATGGAACTATTATTTTAAACAATTCGATTTGACTTCATAATATAGTGTATCAATTATACAAATTTTATGAAAATTCAAAAATTAATTGGAAATAAAACACCTCTACCGCGAATAGTCACAACACAGGACGTATCGCCGCCGGACACTCTCAGTGACCCGGTCACGGGCCGCCGGGTGACCGGCCGGGCGGGCAGGGTGCCGGGGTGCCCTTTCTTTACTCAAAGTTAAGGTAAAAATCAGTTCGAGGACAATCAGGAGAGTCGAGGAGGCTTGGGGTGGCACCTGCCGCATCCAGTGACAGCCTGAGTCACGACTCAGCGGCCCCATGATCATCCGATCCGACCGCAACTAGTTAGTCTAGCCCGGCCGCGCCGCCGGGGCAGTGACGATGCCGCCGCCCGGCAGGGGCCACCGTGACCGTCTCCGGGGGCCGCCGCGGCGTACGGTCGCCCCGGCCGCCCCGGCCGGCGACCGGGGCGGCGGGGCCCGGGACTAACAACGGTCACCAAGTTTCGGCGGACGGTCCGACCGTCGGACGGTCGGGCCCGCCGGTCCGAGGCTGTCGGACTCCGGAACTTCCGGCAACTGAAGTCGGGCAAGCCTCACAAGATTCAAATCCTACCTCCACCCCTTTTAGACCCACCCTACCCCTACTACCCTGGCCTTGACCGTTTCACCGGGGATGGTGGGGTTCAACATGTACCCCTGCTTGAAACGCTGACTACCCCATGTTAAGTCACCAACCCCCGTCAGCCTACAAACATTTGAAAAGATGAGTACCCCTACCCTCTATTACCGTCCTGGTCAGAAAAAAGATGACTCACGCGATCGGATCCGCAGCGTGATATGGCCAATGAAGAGAAGGAGAGCCGCAGGAGAGAGCAGGGCTGGAGAGAGCAGGAGAGAGCAGGAGAGAGCAGGAGAGAGCAGGAGAGAGCAGGAGAGAGCAGGAGAGATAAAGAGGAGAGGGCCACGATAGGGAAATTGGAATAAAGCCTGAGGAGGTTGCGTCGGAAGACGAGAAGTAACTTGATTCGATGGAGGGTCTCGCTGAATGAGTAGAGGATTGGTAGGAAGTGGTAGAAATCAGAAGTATCAAAGATAAGTGTAGGGGCACATTATGAAACAAGATGCCAGTCAAACAGTATCAGTACTGCTCCTTGTTTATTTTGAATTGATCAGCACGAGATCCCGTTGTCACGAACTTGACAAGGAATACAATGAAAATGATGTTTCTGATCGCATCCGATTGGCAGATGTCCTTCCCCTACAACTCGCAGCCGATGGGGGCCGGTCAACCCCAGTATCTGCCCCAGTACTACCAGCCCTTCCCAGCTCAGATCTACCAAACTACCCCAGCTCAGATCTACCAAACTACACCAGCTCAGATCTACCAGCCCTCCCCAGCTCAGATCTACCAGCCCTCCCCAGCTCAGATCTACCAGACTACCCCAACTCAGATCTACCAGACTACCCCAGCTCAAGCTCAGATCTCTGCGGTCGGTTTCCAGTCGATGGCGTTCCCGTCGTCGCTGCAGTACGCGGCAGCACCTGCAGTCGCTATGGTCTTGACTCGTCTGAGGGAGGAGAGTAAGAGATTAACACCGTGTCAGGATCCAGCTGGATATCAGCAGCAGACCTTGCGGGCGCCTCCCCAAGCCCAGCCTGCTCCCAGCTATCCCATGGTGAAGAGAGCAAGCGTCGTTACCATCTGACACCTCCACCGTCTAGCAGAGCCTTCAGCCTGGCGCTCCCGGACAGCCCTTGAGTGCAGAGATGTGCAGGGCGTTCGGTCTTCCCTTGGGAACTGTCTGGGGAGATTCCTCCTCCTCCTCCTCCTCCGCTGCTGCCACAAGCACAAGCACAACAACAACCACCGGCAGCAGCAGCTCCTCGTCTACAGGTGCTAGTTGCAGAAAGATATGCGTAGAGGGTTTGGTCATCGACTGCATTTGACCTGTTGGAAAAAGGGATCAGCGGCTCCCCAGCAGCTCCCCAGCAGGCTGCGGCTGTTCCTTCAGCGGTGAACAAGACAGGTTGGGACCAGGGTTTGTTTTCTGTCATGATGTTCTGGAGCAGGAGTGAGCAAGCCGGCTGTTCCTGCTGCTACAGTTGTTCAAACTCTTTGAAATCCATGAGAAGCTTACCATCCGTACAGATCGAGGAGGAGCAACCGGTCATTCAACCTATCAGAGTGCCAGCACAAGCAGCTCAGCAGCATAAGCCTGCTCCTGCTCCTGCGCCTGCGCCTGCGCCTGCGCCTGCGCCTGCGCCTGCGCCTGCGCCTGCTGCTCCGCCGGTCGCTCCTTCTGCTTGATCGGCGAGAACTGAACATGTTTCGAAACCTCTAGGTCACTACCATGCAAGCCAAACCTGAGCCCGTGAAGCAAGCTGCTCCCGCTAAGCCTGAGCCCGTGAAGCTCTCAACGTCAAAGGAGGTAGATGAGGAGAAGAGAAGGAGATGGTGCTGAATGGAGTTGGCAGACGAAGGAGAATGCGGAGGGTCGATGATTTTCTTCTCCTCCTCTTGTTTTACTTTTCCTTCCAGACAGGAAACCTCAAGCTGCTCCCTTGCAGAAAGCTCCTGCACCAAACCCTAAGGTCCCTCTCTTGAACCCTCCACCTCCAGCGCACCTTCCGCTCCACCCCCCCCCCTTCTCAGCTCCTCTTTCTCTCACATCACTTCTTTCAGAATGCTTCGTTCCTCTCCTTCCTCCATAAGGACTGCGAACTCCGGGTGACTCTCGCCTCTTCTTGCCTTCTCCTCTGATGCCCCGAAGCTCGCGGTCGCCGTCGACTTCACGTCTTCGAACAAGAAGCATGAAGGTAAGGAGAGAGGAAAGAGAAACGAACGGCTAGGATAAAGGAGGAAGCGAAGGTGGTGATCTCCTTGAGCAGACGAGAGTTCGCTTCATTACTCTGCTCAGCCTCTCAATAATCCGTACTGGCGCACTCTGAATTCAGGTAGGAGGAGGGAGAGAAAGGATAACAAGGGAGGAAAAGGAGAAGCGGGAAGGAGGAGAGCAGCTGAATTGTGCCCTCCTGCAGTGCTCAACATCCTCCTGCCATTTTCGCGCGGACAGACGGTGAGGCTTTCTCCTCCTCATGAAAGTGCCTGAAGTATCGGCAGGTGGAGGCGATGGGGTTCGGAGGGAAGAGAAAGGACAGCAAAGGTGAAGGATGACGCGGAGGCTGCAGGCGGCTGAGATGCTGGTCCTGCAGATGTTTCTCAATGCTTCTCAATGCTCGGAACGGAGGAGGTGAAGAGAGGTGGAGGGAGAAGAAGCGAAGAATCAATGGGGGACGGAGACAGAGAGAGCGGGAGGAGAAGGACAAGAACGATGGAGGGGGAGCGGGGAGAACTTCTGGGGGGATGGGGGCGGTGGACGGCTCAAGGACGGAGGACAGCAGAAAGGAGGAGATGAGAAAGGAAAGGGGAAGAAGAGGGTAGTCAAGAGGAAATTTAGATCGAAAAGAGCAGGGAGCATGAAAGGGAGGAGGAGGTGGAGGAGGAGGAGGAGCTTTCCTAACACCTCCATTAGTTTGCTGTTCAAGGACTCGAAGGTCTCAAGAAG